ATTACGAAATAGCGGCAATGACTATACAAGATGATATACATAAAATTATTCAATGGTACCGTAAAAACCAAATAATTGTAAATGTTCCTAAACCTCAAGTGATATGCTTTAGAGATCCAAGAAAAAAAATCATAAATGAATTTCCAATAAAAATGCATGATGAGAACTGCGACAACTGCTCGTGCATCCCGCTAAAATACGCTGATAATGTAAAATACCTGGGTATGCACATAGACAAATATGTTAAATGGGATATTCACATAGACCAGGTTTGCAAAAAATTAAGGGTATTAATGGCCCATATGTACCACATCCAAGAACTAGTACCGCGATCCATACTTAAAATGATATACAATTCACTGGGTAAATCCGTACTTCAGTATGAAATAACAGTTTACGGGCACTGTGCCAAATATTTACAACTAAAGATAGAATCGATTCAAAAAAGGATAGTTAGGAATATTGGGTACCGAAGCAAAGAAACTAATTTATCAGATTATATGCATAAAGAATTAGGAATATTACGTTTCAGAGATCAAATGAACTATGATATTATTATAAAGCATTTTTTCACCAATAAATATAGGCGCGAAATTAAAAAAGAAAGGACATTAAGACCTAATAAAAAATTTGTTGAACCATTTGTAAGAACAAGATATGGAGAGGCCACAAGGAAATATTACATACCTAAGCTTTATAATACATTACCCGATGAGCTACTAGAAATAAAATCCCCTAGAATAAAAAAATAGCAAAAAAGTGGATAATTGAACAGGGAAAAAAAGATTCTTAAAAGGTAATAGGTATAACCGATGAGTATCCCCGAAACGCAGGATATAAAAGGTTGTTATTGTGTTCTATTCTTAGAATTGTCTCGTAAGTCGTGAATTCTAATTTTCTTTACGGTATGTAAATGCTAATTCAATATGATTCGACGGGTTTACACATGTACTCATCAAAGTAGGCGAACTAATATAAGCTGTAGAAGGAGGTGGAACTGCAGTAATAGGTACTAATATTGGTATGTTTTGTTATTTTTAGTTATGTGTGCAATAAAAATGCAGAGGCTCCTGTCGCGTCCCACACACAAGCCATCATTGGCTTATGTGGGCTTTATATTGTATTATTTTCAAACAAAGTAAATAAAGATGGTTTTTGTATTGTATTGTATTGTATTGATACACGACCGCGACCGCATATGATTTGTGTGACAGTGCGAGGTCGGTTAGCTTGCTCTCGTTTTATTGAAAACTGCCAGTATTGTGGTGTAGCGATGTTTTAAAACTTCTTATAACATCTGGTGTGGACCCAAAGTAGTCGCGTATGCAAATGAAAGCTAAAGATGGAAAAATGGTGCGCTGACAAAAACAGAGAGCAACGTTCTTTGTCTAGAAAATCTCTGGGGGTGTCTTTGGGACAGTCGGCTGCTTTGCAACGTGAAACACCACTGCTGTTGTTTTTCCCAAAACAGCAAAATATTGCCCCCCCCCCCCCCCCCCCCCCCCCCTTGGCTCTCGTCTTTTCAGGGGTGGGGCATCTGGACCCCATACCCGAATGACTTTGAGACCCCTGATATATATACTCGGTCCTCAGATGAAAAAACAAAAACAAAATGGACATGAGCTGAGTAAAGACGCTGCGGGATACATATCTGTACCATTTTCATCTCCTTCTGCTTGTAAATTAAAACCGAACAATAATAAAATTTGTTCTTTTTCGCTTTATTTTTATCTTTGCGCAGTAGTGGCATTGTTTAGAAACAATGACATTTTGGTGCAAGATGTAACAGACTTTCATTCATGGTGTAAGTTGGCGTAACACTACTTACTGCTGGGACCCTACGTTGCACTTTTTGGACTCCCACGGCGACTAGGGAAAAGGAAGTGACGTCAACAACGCAGCAAACGCAGATTGGATGTTGATGGGCGAGAGTCGTTGATGAATTTCGGCAGAAGAAGCATCCAATCTGCGTTTGCTGCGTTGTTGACATCACTTCCTTCTCCTTAGTCGCCGTGGGAGTCCAAAAAGCGCAACATAGGGCCTCAGATCTCGAGGTTCCAAACATTTGGAAAATAGAGCTGGTTGGTCTCCAAACAGACGATGAGTTAGCAAGGCGCATTTGATTTCAAAGAACTTGTTAAGGTTCACGCTGGTTTCACGGAATCGATGCTTTTAAACCCGAACAAACTCGCAGCGGCCATGATCAGCGTTCGGTAGCATGGTAGAACGCAGGCCTGCGAACAAGCTTTTTCGAAGATAAAATACATAGTCAGTTTTGCATTTGCCGCTGAGCAACTTTGATGTAGATATTGGCAGCCTGGCAAAGAATGTTCACCAGCAAAGGTCGTATCGGGGGTTTTGTTGCTTATCGTCATCTGTTTGATACATTTGTGTTAAGTGGGCTGAAAATAATCATCATACTTTCTATTCGTCTAGTACATCAAGTCAATTCGGAAGAGTTTTCTTTTTGCCTTTTCTTCACTTGCCTCCCCTCCCCTCCCCTCTCCTCCCACCCCCTCCCCCCTCACTCTCTCGTGACTTTCCATCCGGACTTCTCCGTGTCGGTTTCGTGACGACATGGCCCGCCACTGCAAGAGGGTACCAACCCCTGTTCCAGGTGGCATTGACCTATCCCATACACTTGTAGACTATAGCTACGGCCGTATTTTAAAAATTTTAACTGTAGAGCTTTCACCATAAACATCCACAAAGTATGCGTGCGTGCATTTCTTTCCTATGCACATAGGTGCCCCGCTGCGAAGCGAGGTACACAGGATCGCACAATGGACTGCCACTCTTCCACGAAAAAGAACCGCTATCACAATTCAATGCACCAGCGACTCATGTGCGACTAGAGAAGCATGGCTATCTCCTGATTAGTAGTCGCACGTCGAGCAGGGTACATGAGGCACGCAAATAACGCGGACGGCACAAATCACGTTCCGGGGTATTTCCAGTCTGCGGTGTATCGATGCCCAGTGAGAAGAGACCGCACTAGCGGAGCTACCAAAGTCCCTTCAAGAAACATCGAACAGTGAGAAATATTGCAACCATTCCTACTAATAGAGTTCGATACAGAAATCGAAACAAATTATTGTTATCTGAATCGATAGCCGAATGCCTCAAGCAATGGCCAGGCAATATAGGGGGGCCTCACTGAAACCTTCGTTGTTCATGAGAAATGAACTTTAGACGCCATAGTGGCGCACATTCTGCGGATTGTAGCAGACTGTGAAGTTCGGTGCAGTTTGGGGCAAATAATGCAGCGATAACATTCCGTAACAAATGTGTCTTCAAAATATATAAAAATCAGAAATTAAGCTTTAAAATGCGCATCCAGTTGAAACGAAAATCGCCCAAACCGCCTTTAGCGAAAATCCCGTAAGTCTGCGTAAACGTCCTCCTTGTCCTCACACCCCTACCATGCGACGCTGAAGAGATGGAGCAAGGGTGAGGGCAGGCGAGCCCTCGCCTGCGTATCCTCCGTCTTCTGCTATCCAGGTATTCCTTTCAATGCTGCGGGCAGCACTGCACCAAAGGTTTGTTGTGGTCAATTCATCAACTGGAAACACCGAGAGCATCATTAAAAATATTAGCATGTTGACCAGCCACACCGTCCCCGACCAAATCTAAAATCACCTTGTACTGAGCCGACTCAAAGGTTCAAAACTAATGAAGAGCTTTAATTCCACAATATACACTCTACAACGCTATTCCGTCGTAATGTATATTTACAGCACTATGTACAGCACGGTTTAACTATTGTGCGATAGTGGTATTAGTAGAACAGTTCTGAAGGATGGGGTGTTCTTACAAACTAAGTCAAGCACTATCTATTTGACAAAACGCTATTTACACCCTTGGGATTAGATTCCCTCATTAGTTATTTGGGTATCACAAGTTGGATCTTTGACAGAGTGGGCTTGATGGACCGTCCAAACTTTGGAAGACCACATGAACATTCTTCTCCAAGTCCCGAAGTAATCACACTTTGACCAATCACAATGTCACAACCAGGCAAGTTCAACTACACATCTTCATGAGTGTTACACAGTACAAGCTTGCCAGGCACCAAGGATATATAATTCTCTCAATTAAACTAGTATAACCCTTTGTAGATGACATAGGCCTTAGAACTTGTTTTTACTGGAGCAACATAAAAGCAGAGTACAATCTAAAAGAAATTCATTGTCTATACTAACAAGGATGAGCCTTGATTAGTACAATATCCCAAGAACATTTAATTTAACCTGAGCAGTGAGTTACAGATTATACAAGAAACTAATTTGTTGGTTCATGCAAAATATGAGCGATTCATAGAGCCCACGCTGTACATACTGCAAAGTGTCGTTAGGATCTAAAGTATTGGCACTGCCCTCTTGTATATATGCTAGCAATAAAGTTGAACGTACAGCATTATATGAGCATAGAATACTGTGCTTCAAGGAAAAGTGTCATCGAATTGGGCACAAGAGAGAACCCTTCAGCATACAAGTATCTTAAAACAATAGTACACCTGCCTTTCTTGACAATGACACTATCCAACATTTGTTGTTCCAATGCCAGAACACACTGTCACCCATAAAAAAGGTTAACACTGCATACCAGCAACTGGAGTGGTGGAAACGGTCTCACTCAGCAGGACCCACTGCCTAGAGCCATTGAATGTTCCCAGAATAACGAAATGTGATGCAGCGCTGCAATCGACGACTCCAAAACAGTGTCTTTTTGCAAATAATTTGAACTGGTATGTGTGAAGCCTGTCTGCCACTAAGAAAACTGACCAGAACTCTCCTTTTGCAAACTAGATTACAGGCCACTTGATACCAAAAGCCCAATAACACGCATATCACATTTTGACTGATCATAATTCACTGGCTGTCCAGAGCTTCCCCATATCAGTTTTATTTTTATTTATGTACCTCAACATGGCTGATATCAACCAATCAGAAAGCTCGGCTGGTCGATTCCCTAGTTCAACTGGACGTTATTTTTATTTATGTACCTCAACATGGCTGATATCAACCAATCAGAAAACTCGGCCGGTCGATTCCCTAGTTCAACTGGACGCTATGAAATGCGGTACACTGGGAGCATTAGGTGGCATCACGTCAGTGCAATATCCTACGAATAAAAATGGCCAGATGGGTTTAGCCAATCCAACACATTTCCATAACACTATGCAAGAACTGTGTTGCATGGTATTTTTGCTCCTCTGGCTCCAGGACCCTGCATAACATATGTATTAGCTCCTAATCCCAGTAGGAACAAGACAGTGATTCAGAACATAATCTTCCAGTGTACCTACGGTACATCACAGTCTAGTTTACTTCACACAAACCATGTGCCCTTTAGGTATGAAAGTGGCACATTGCCAGAAAAAAAATTGTGGTCCTTTTAGACTTAGAATAGAAAATAATAAGTGCACAATACAAAGGAAAACCTACGGGCTTTTACAATAAAGATATGTGTTTGAACTGGAAAGCAAATGACGACGAAGAATTATCATCATTTATGTCGAGGCTTCCTCCAACCTAAATGTGGCTCAAGCAAGAACTACAAAGAATGGCGGAAAAATTCCTTGAACATAAAGCAATCCACTTCCAGCAAAAAACCACGAGAAAGGGCTCCTCAATGATCAGTATAACAAAAGAACCTAGTCACAAGAAAGCTTCCTTACAGAATTGGCCATCTTGGCAAAGCAGTTCACAAATTCACATTTTCAGTTGACCAAGGGTCACAAAAGCATCGTCCCACAGATTCTTTACCAGGGTAAAAAGAGAGGTTAAAAAACGGTGATGGGGGAAAAAAAACAGATGATCAGGGAGAACAAGCACGAAGAACCATGGAATGTAAGCAAACACTCCTGTGGAGGTCTCAAATTGCACGCCCCCGGAGACACATCATCCCGTAATTACGGTAAAGAAATGAAGAAGCCAGTGCTGTTCTGTTATCAAACAGTAATATTTTGAGCAACTCTAACGAGTAACACCAAAAAAATTTTATATCTAAAATAAAGTCCCACCTAAAAGTAAAGGGTGCAGCGGAGCCTTCCAAGGCTCCGTCCAGCCAGATTCAAATTGAAAAACAGAGTCAAGTTTCTCGAGCTGATATAAACTTGACCAGATGATAAGAAAAAAAAATCATAAAAAACTTCACTTATTTCTGAGCACTTTAGGTCAAATGCATGTCACTGAATTGATGCCTTCCACTAATGACAGGTATGAATCTAATAGATTTCTCACCATTCAAAATGCAAAATATGTTCCCAAGCCCCTATTAACAAATTGACTGGGTAAGTAAGGTTATGCAATAAAAAGAGGCCATAACATACTACTTTTGACCATCCAGGCCTGCTACAAAATACAGTACCGAAAAGATCAATTGTACAATTCTCGAATGACAAACAGACAGAGAGCAACTGTTGAAAACACAAAACCACTTCCATAGTAACTCAGCTGTACTCTACAACGTCTTTGGCCTCCAAGCACCCATGAATACTATACAAAGACGATGACAGGAGCGTCAGTGTCACTTTGAAATATGACATACAAACAGGAAAGACTCCGCATCGGTCTTTCCTTTTCTCGACATGTCCCAAGTCGAGAACTTCTAAACTGCAAAAACAAGGCAGCCCAATATCTGCCTGTGCTAACAAATGCAGCAATAGCTGGAGGCAACGCATTGCTTCCGCATTCGCCGCAACACAATTTGAGGGTCACTACATTTCTCTCAGCTAAAGAACGTAATTTAGTTTTGTACATTTACACGACCTCACCAACCGTGGCACGCTCGAGGTGAACCCGTTTTTTCCGCTCAAATAGATATTTGTGCCCAAAATTTCATTTAAAAGTTAAAAAAAATGATGAAACATAACTTTTTTTTTTTCTGGTTCACAGATTTGCATGCGGGTGCGATTGAGCGAGTTTAAACCGCTTGTCACTGCTTACGGCAAGAGAATGTACTGGCACACTAGCACCATTCGTAGAGCAGCTCTTGAACGCTAGATTTGCACAGAGTTCTAACACAGATTGGGTTTCATCAGCTAAATTCTAAAAGAAGCATCACAAAGGAGTGCGATGTCATGTGACACTATGACTTCATAATGTTATGATGCACATCACAGTGTCACACAATATCATAATGTCACGTGACACTGTGACATTTCATAACTGTGACGTCACATAAGATCATAATATTATGCAACACTGTGACAGCAAGCTGCTGTGACATTGCGACGTTTCGATGCCAAGCAGCATTGCAACGCATGACATCATGGTGTCACATTATATCATGTCACATGACAATGTCATGCAACACCACGACATTGCACAACCCTGTGATGTCACGTAAGATCATGATATCAAGCAACACCGCGACACCAAGGTCGCAGGCATGTGACATCGCACATGCGCATAGCATGTGGCCAGCTCATTTACGACAAGTTTTGCACTCCCCTTCCTCTGTCGGCAGAATCACGCTAGGGCAATGTTCATAAACTTTTACGAATCATCTTTTCACTGTGTGCTTGGAGGGATTCCGACAACGTCACGAGCGACGGCTTTTTGTCAAGGACATAAATGCTGTTAATCCTTCCGTCTAGTTATATGCATTTCCAGGGCTGCTCGACAGATGGCAGCCGTGTGTTCTCTAGTTGCAAGCGGTGACAAGAAAATGCGACGCACTCAAGCGACAATGCGGAAACCAGCCTGCAGAAATCGTCAAGTAACATGCACTGGCTTCTTGCTGCAGAGAGTCGGTCCCTTGAGACGTGTCGCGGCTGGTTCAGAGCTCAGCACGCTTGTCACACTTGTCACAGATGCGCACGGGACTCTCCCAGCCACGCGACGCCACGGGGCGCCTCGCCATCGAGCAGTCGTTGCAGACGCCGAGGCCGCAGCCGCGGCAATGGTGGATCGGCTTGCGCGGACCGAACGGCAATTCGCAGACGGCGCAGGCGCTCAGCTCGTGGTCGGGGGTCCAGTACGCCGGGCGTGCCGTGTCCTTGATCAGCCCTGAAATTAAGAAAGGCGGAGATGATGACTGGAAGAAATTAAACCCTTCTTTGATCTGGTACCCCAACGCCTGGTGTGCAGAATGCATAAGCGACATGCCACATAAATATAGATGGCGTGATGTCACGTTACACCAAGGTCAAATTTGGGGTTAAACTTGCCAAATCAATGAACAGCATCTAGCATACCCCAATGGAAGACTGAGGATTTATTTTGAACATTTGGGGAAGTTTGCTGGCGATGCAGATATCTCTCTTAGCAGCTAAAATCTCCGCAAGAGGGATTTTCTGGTTACATGACCGACTTAATGGGGCATGGCACCAATAAAAAGAAACTCAGCATCATATATTTTTTTATACGTTGTCAAGCTAGTGCAGCTTCCAAAGTGTGGCAGCTCAGCACTGCTGCAAGAACATGTGGCTCTGTCTTGCATCTCATTCGTGCGAAAAAAAACAAAACAACAACGAAGCGACAACAGTGTCAGAGCACTTTGACAGCGTTAGAGCACAGTGGAAGTTGCGCCAGCCTCAACTATGCAGCACAAAATAGTTGATGCCGAGAAAGGCAAATGGCCGCCACGAGTCCGTCCTCACTATTTGAGTCTGCTTTGGTGTGCAGAAAGAGGACGAACAGGCTTGAAATGTAAGTGAAACAAACCGCATCTGTGTACTTTAGTTGTGGCACAAAAAGTTACTCCTGGGGAAGACCGTGTTAAGCGAGAAATCAAGACGACGACGGGCAAGGCTGGAATTGACTAGACGCTAGGTACTGCCTGCCCTCTGGGCCGGTCACGTGACATAAGAATCCCTTATACTCGACGGGAAAACAGCCGCATTCGCTAGCAAACCGCCCCTGGGGCCCTTTTGACGTCAAATCAGATTGCGGACACTTCGGTTGGGATTTCAACTTGCCCCCCGAGGATCCGTAAGACACCGAATGTAACGTGGCCTATCCTGTGACTCCCTGACGTCACATGACCTCAAGCCACGTGACTCGCCGTCATGTAACAGCTCGTCGTGACAATGTGATCTCACACAAACCGTCGTGGCCCGACCCCACGAGGTGTGGTGGCATGAGCCACGGGACCATGTGACTCGTAGTGGCAGCTAAATTTAGTGAGACGTTAGCCCGCTAAATTTAGCTGACGATGGCTACGGTGACACAACAGTTCCACGAATTCCAACTTCGCTTTCCTTAAAATGCATTCTGCATTAAGAACTCTGTATTTCACATACAGGACCCATATTCCACATATGGGACACTTTGTTTTGATTTATAATTCTTTTATGGGTCATTTTAATTACTGTTTATTGTACCGGACAATGTAGGTAGAACGCAAATAATTACGAAGCACCAAACTTTTAAAGAGCGTTACTACAGTGACGCAGCACGCATCGCCACCTGGCTGAGCTAAGTGCAGTCGAACCCGGTTATCATGAACCCGGAAATAGCAAAATGTCGTACTTAACAAACTTACGTCCGTTTCATTATGAAAACTAGAGGGGGACATGGAAGACAACACGGATGACAAAGCCTTTCAACTTGCAACAAAACAAGTGAGAGATGCAGGGGGCTGTCTCAACAACCACCCTCTCCCCTTCCCTTCTCAACATGCCTCCGTCAAGCATGGCGGGGGGGGGGGTCAAGTTGAAGCCAGTAAACGTCCTGTTGCAGGTTCAAGGCCTGTGTCATCCGTATTGCCTTTTGTGTCCCTCTTTCGTAATTTAGACACCAACACACTCAACCATTCACCTTATGTTTGTCGTATGCTACTGCTGCTGTACTTTCTATGTATAATTTTAGGCAACCTTCAATGAACCAACTCAAAAAGGCACTGCAGATATAAAGAAGGACATTGCAAAAGCCATGCAATGTTTTCTGCAAAAACAACCAGAAATAGAAGTGTCAAAATTTCAGCACAAAATAAGTTGCCCAATTGGCTGTCCTGTGACGCGGTGTGTTTTGACACCTGGCAGATTTCTCCGGGAAAGTTTGTGCGGCTAAAACAAGCATTTCCAAGCATTGTCACTACTTTTACCTTACACCGAGACCAGCTCGAACGAATCTCGTGCAACAACCGTCGTGCAACGTTTTCCAGAGAGATAACCAAGAAAATCCCCAACAACTAAAACTCTAAAAGAAAAAAAAAAAAAAATTGTGTGTTTTGTTTTTTGGGGATCTTTCAGGATAACATGCTTGTCCAAAATGCAGCACCTACTGGGGTTTTACAGAAGCTAAACTCTCGAAAAAAAAAAAAAAAAAAAATTCTTTAAGGAGAGATGCAAATCAGAAATATTTTTTCCTACCAAAATTTTTTTTTCTTTTGTTTTTTATATTTACGTACCTTCTAAATTTATAATAATAAAAAAAAAAAAAGATTATTCAGAAATTCTATCTAAAAATATTTAAAAAAAGATGTATTTGAATGCCCTGCCACGTCAAAACAAACTGCACATGTTGGCGCAAGCTAGCCATTCTCAAACCCACGCCCCTCCGAACATCGGCAACGGCCGCCTTTGCAGTCACTTTGATAAAGATAATCAAGTCTTCTTTCTAGTGACTCCTCCCTTAGTCACGTAGTCAAGCTAGAAATAATTAAAAAAAGCATTTCCCACGTGCTCAGGACGCTTCAAGTTGGCTTTTAAAAGGCCATGCGATGCGAATGCGGAGCCGTCATTGGCTGCCGCCCGGACTTGTCGTGTAGTGAAGCCCGCGCATCGTGTGGTGTCGCGTCGCATCGCCATTGTTTCAAACAATAACCATCTCTTCTGTTAGCTGTTCGAGGGTTCCCATTACGAGTCGTCCTGAAAAGTGCGACTTTCGTCGCTGCAAGAGTATGACTACGCGTGCATTCAAGGGTAAACGTAAACAGAAGTGAAAGAGCCCAAAAAGCACGGCCGCTCCATTGTGCCAGCAGAATGGCAACGTGCTTTCGAGCATCGCGAGCACCGGCCGGTCAAGCTCACCTGATTTTGTCATTGACGGTTCTAACTTCATGGGTGCATGGGAAAAGAAGCTGCGAACGTTTTGACATAATGTTAATGCGAGGAGTGGACGCAGCACGAACGCTGTCATCTGCGAAGTTGGAACTCTTATGCAACTCGTGAGCGGCCCGGTGTTCGGAACGTGTGGGACTTGCGAACTCGCTGCTGTGAAGCCCATAGACAAGCGCAAGGGTCTTGCTTCCGTACTTAAAGTGAAGTGCATGAATGATGGATGCACCGCGGGCATTGTTTCTACTGTATACTCGCCGCATTGTGCCATGCCGCCAGCCACAAAGATAGTGGCCCGGATGAACACAACGAAAGTGCCCGCGACGGTTTCGCTATCAACATCAAAGCTGTGCTTACTGCGTGCACGGTTGGCGTCAAACATGACCAACTCTTAAGGTTTTGTGACATTCTTGGGTTGCCCAAAGCACTTCATTACGAGACCTTTGACGGCATATCAAAGAAAGTGCATGTCGTGGCCACTAAAGCAGTTTCAGACAACCTTGTAGAAGCAAGGCGGAAAAATGCGTTTGAGGCGGGTCAAATCGACGTCGCTGTAATGTTCGACGGCACTTGACAAAAGCGTGGAAACAAGAGCCGCAACAGAGTGGGCACTGTCATTTCTATCGACACAGGCCTCTGCCTGCACTTTGAGGTGCTGTCCAACTACTGTCACGGCTGTAGCAGACATTGGATTGTCGACGAACAAGATGAGGAAGTGTGGCGAGCCTTTCATGGCTCACTGTGCGGAAAGAATGTGAACTGTTCGTCCCGAGCCATGGAAACTAAAGCAGCACTACGGATCCGGAAAAGGATGCAATCGTCTGACAGGCAGCTTCACTACACTACATTTCTTAGCGACGGCGACAGTAAAGCATACACTGAAGTGTCTGAAGCAGGTGTATAGCTCCACCACGGTGACGAGGAAGGATTGCACCAACCACGTCGCAAAGCTAAGAGAGCTCAAGGTGCCACTACCACATGGGGAAAGCTGGGTGACAAGATTATTCGGAAGCTACAGAACTATTATCAGGTGGCCTTAACCAGCAACAGAGGGAGCATCCATGGAATGCACTGTGCGATATGGGCTTCATACCTCCATTCATGATCGACCAATGATGCTAGCAGTCACAAGTTCTGCCCCGACAAGGAGGAGTCGTGGTGTAAGCATAAGAGAGCCCAGGCTTTCCAAGAGCCAACACTGGACCACACACCACTCACGACTAGGGATGTCGCGAACCACCCTAGGTTCGATTTCGAAAGGTTTCGATATTTGCAAAGCGAACTGAGGTTCGATTTCGAAAAATTTCGATATTTTCGTACCGACCGAGGTTCGAATTCGAAAAATTCGCAACTTTTGACCACAGCGGAGTTTCGAGTTCGAAAATTTCGAAGCTTTCACGGTTTCTAAAATTTCGAATTTGAATATTTCGAATATTTTTTTACTTCAGGTTCGATAAATTCGAAGATTTCGAAATTCTTTGGAAAAAAAATTAGAAAACTTCGAACGCTTCGAATTTTTACAGACATGAAGTTCGAACAATTCGAAGATTTCGAATTTCTTTCTGCATAAAGTTCAAAAAGTTCGAAGGTTTCGATTTTCTTTTAACGCTAGACTAAAAAAAAAAAAAAAAAAAAAAAAAAAAAAAAAACTTTGAAGATTTTGAATTTCTTTCTAATCCAAGTTTTCAAAGTTCGAAGTCCGATTCTCAAGTTTTTCCACAGTTTCAGTTTCAAATAACGTTTTCACGACTCACTGGTTTTCACAAAATCAAGTTTAGAAAAGTTAGGGTGTTATATCTAGATTCTGCGAAGTTGGTCAGGCAATTAAATGAGACGACGAGTGCTTGATTTTTCACAAAATCAAGTTTAGAAAAGTTAGGGTGTGATATCTAGATTCTGCGAAGTTGGTCAGGCAATTAAATGAGACGACGAGTGCCCCAGGCGTGTTAGAATATTTGCCAGTGCAGAATTGTGACCGCCAGCCCCGGGGGGGGGGGGGGGGGGGGGGGTCTTTAACTTGCATCACGCAGTAGTGATTACACAAACACACTGTTTTACGAGACTCATCCAGTTCGAAACGGCCAGGGTCGAGCAGGAGGTTGAGGCTCGGAAGAACCTTGAAGCGACCTGGCAAACTAGCTCGCCACCCCTTGCACGCTGGAAGTAATCCGATCCGGTGAAGTTTATAATTGTCCTGGAGGTTTATTTTCTGGGACGGAGGAATCGCCTCGCAAAAAGCACAAAAGCCGACACAACTCGAGGTCGAGGAGCGTTCTACCATACAAGTGGCGTCGGAAGAGGAAAAACGGGAGGAAAGAGGGTAGCGGGGGGGTTTCAGCCTTTTTCTCTCCCTTGCAGGTATTTCGGACTGTTAAAGAAAACAATACGGGGAAAGAGGGCGTGGTCGAGCTTATTTTAATCTGAAATTATTTATGCATATGTGTAGCTACTGTCGCTCTTCACTGCATAAAAGGTTGCGTAGATGGTCATTGTTAGAAACTCGTTGTCAGAAGGCACTACTCGTCACATGCTTAGTGGTTCGGAAGTTTAAAGCTGTCTTTTCGACCTAAATACCTGTGCCAAAAAAAAAAAAAAAAAGAATAAATGCGAGAATAAAAAGCAGGAGAAAAAAAAAAGCTATCAAGAATTCGTCGGAAGTGTTCTATTGCATATTCAGAGGTTCAGAACTTCGAAACAAGTTTCTTTTACCAAAATGTGTACAGGCTAAAAGAAACGCGTCTCAGGAACGTGAAGCGAAAAAAAAAAAAAGTTTTCTTTTAATGACGTGCTGAACTTAAACACTATTAGATATGTACTGTCTGTGGTGTTACTTTAAATGCGATACCTCAAACAACTTAGACGAAAATAAATATCAAGTTTAGGTCATAATTGCAAGCAGATACATATTGGGACATTTCTTCGAAACTCACGTTGAATAACAATCATCACATCTTAGGACGGCACTTACCTAGGCTATACATAGATCATTCTTAAAAAAGTATACCATAAATAGCTCCGGCTGCAGCGTGCTTCAAATCTGGCACAAATGATAATCGTCAAAAACCCCGTCATCCTTCCTCGCCCCTTCGGGGATTTATTTCTTTAAACCTAAGCATGCCAGAACATTGAAATAAACGACATTGTCTTTCGTAAGGAACGCAGCACTGCGTGTACTAATTCGAGAAAAAAAAATTACGAATGTACCCCACTACTTGAGATCAAATGAAACCGTCCGCCGGTCTTTCGAAGTTCGACGAACGTCGAACTTTTACCCTAAAAGTTCGAAGTTCGTCGAATTCTGACATTTCAGAATTCGAAAGTTCGAAACTTTTCGAATTCTCTTGATAAATAAGTTCGAAAATTCGAAATTCATCGAATTTTTTGGTCAGTCAAGTTCGAAAGTTCGACAAGCATCGAACCTTGCAGCGCAAAAAGTTCGAAAGTTCGAAAAAGATCGAATTTTTTAGCGTAATAAGTTCGACGGTTCGAAAAGCGTCGAAGTTCTTAGCTTAACAAGTTCGAAAATTCAACTTCCGTCGAATTTTACGATATAGACAATTCGAAAAATCGAAATCTTTCGAACCGCTTGATTCAATCATCGAAACTTCGATTCGAAAAAAGTTCGCGGCATCCCTACTCATGACCAACGCTCAAGGGAAAGCAGTGTTGGCTATCTACAAACGCATTACAGATGCAAAGCTCCTCGCTCAATGTCTGTGGGGAAAGACCCAGAATGCTGCAGAGTCTTTGAACAGTAAGATATGGATGCTGTGCCCAAAGACTTGGTTTGCACCACTGACTGCGGTGCAGACAGCCACCGCCATCGCAGTGTTGTAGTACAACTGGGGCCACTCCAGCTTTGGGCAAGTGCTGGAGGAGTTGGGGTCCTCCCTTCAAAGCGGCTAGTCAGGCTCAGCGACGTGTGCGACCAGAGGAAGATCAGAAAGATGACCGGCAAGCTAACAGCTGAGGCTAGGCCACACCGCCGCAGCAGGGCGAAAACGTGCCCATGCTGAGGACTCCAGCCGCAAGGGACGCGAGGGTGCAACCTACGCAGCAGGGGAGTACTGGTTTGGAGGTTCAGAGAGAGACATTTGGAACTACATTGCCACCAAGTTTTGTGTTATTTGAGTGAGAATATAGGTATATCACATGAAACTAAACTTTCAAATTAGTTTTTCTCTAATTGGCATTTTTGTCTGTTTTCATAGTTTGTGCACAGAATTGTAACTGCTTGCAGTTACTGTATTACAACAACATTTTGCACAGATGTTCCTGATGGTCATAGAGTGGGAAAATCTTGCTAGTTGTGCGATCGGTCTCACTGAATTTTTATCAGGGATATAAAACGAAAAGTGAAACAAAATGTAATGACTAAAAATCACTTTTTTTTTTTTTTTTTAGGTGCAAGTTTTTTTGTTTGTTTTTTTACGTATATATGCACATTTTCAGTTCACAAAGCACTAACCAGGCTGTTTCGAGTTGCAGTCATATATGGTTTAGAAAAACATTGCGTGCACAAAAAAGGCATTTTATGTGCATGATAAAAGCATAGCTATATTTCACCAAGATAGTTATCAGAAAACTGATTGCATATATGGCAAGAGGACCTCAATATGCACTAACTGTGAAAATTTCAGGCTCCTAGCTTCAATATTCAAAAAAACAATTTATGCCAAGGAGCATCTCCAGCTAAGTGCCTGCATAGGACACATCACAACCCCCCCCCCCCCCCTCCAAAAAAAAAAAGAAAAAAAGAATTAGTAAAATATTTACATTGCAAGACCCCCATTTTCTGCTAGGAGCGATTCCAAAAGCCATGCTTCGGTTTCGGGGTCGACGTCTCGAAGTAAATGCATGTGTCGGAATCGCACCAAGCTCAAAATGACCCTCGTCCTCTTCGCAGCAAGCTCAAGATAACCCTTGTACTCTCAAAACATGTAAAAAAAAAAAAAAAACTTTTTTTGGGAGTATGGCGTTTATTTAAAAGAGCAAGTAAAAGTCTGCCTTTGAGTGAAATCACTCTCCTCACCCAGGGGGAACTCGATGGCCGACGCGGCGACTCCCAGGACGTTGCGGATCACCTCGCCCACTTTCCGCGCCGTCACTTCCGATTCACCCGCCGGTCGTGCCACGGCCCGACTCCTGCCTTCGTCTTTGCCTGAAAAAGCGAAGCAAGTGACACGCATTAATCTTTGTACAAAGTGATGTGATTTTAGCAAAACCCAACACGACGAAGTGCATCAGACCACGTTTCTAGCAAACGAACAAAGTGATGTTTATTTCGGTCAGTCTGCTCTCCTTAAAGGAGTTGCATGGAAACCAGGGTTGCCAACTGATGAATCCGCTGAAGCCATACTCTAGAAGTTTCTTCACAGAGTGCTCTGGTGGCTTTTTATGCTACCAAAACTAAATGGATTTTGGGAATACCCAATGAGGCTTCGCTCTTCCTGGCATGCTATCTATTATCTCTAAATTCAAACTAGCCATTGAGAAAACGGAAAACTAAGGTTTTGCCAAAACCGACTTTCTACTTTCCTGCGCCCTCCTCTGGGGCAACGTCATGTGTTGCATAATTTGCAAGTCGAGCAGGTAGTCTGAAAAACTTTTCAGACTACCTGCTTTTCTCGTTTTGCTGACCATGATCTTTTTTTCTTCACTCACTTCCCACCATCAAATTTTTCGGAACCCATCGGGAACAGGCCATACTGCTCCCCCATTAGAACATCCGATGTCACATTTTCGGTGTGGAGCAAACCCCAAAAAATTAAAATACTTTGCAAAAACAAAGAAAAAAACAATCATTGGGGTGTGTAATTTTAGCTACTACCATAAAATACCGCAGAAGCACCCACTTCGTACTAGCACCCACAATTAATGTTTCCCAAAGTTGAGAAATCCTGCAAAGTATATGTTATGCACCTACCCTCTTCAAAGCGTTGGCATCAGCCAGAAATATTCACCCCGTTGTGGCAGCCACAAGACTGCCAGTGGCAGTGACGGAAATATCTGCTTTCTTGCAATCGAAAGGGAAAAACTACTTGTGATGAGAGCATTGACCTTTTATTCTGCACTGACGAGTCGTTTTCTGAGTTCAGTGACAATATATAGGTACTGGTTTATTTATTTTCACATGATATATGATGAGGGGGACCCCATCATTCATCATGTGAAAATAAATGTGCTTTCTCTGATTCCGTTCACCCTTCCTATCTTCGGAGCTCTTCATTTACCGTCATCTTGGTTTTTACCGATTCGAGCTGGACAAGCGCCCATGTCTAGATTAAACAAGCTTTCAATGAAAGTGGGATGGGCGCTTCCTCGCTATTTTACGGTAGTTCAAATGTGTATTATTAATGTGTTAAACCAATTCTGAGGCAGATCAGTGACTACTAAAATGCATCACGGGCTAGTTTCCAAGTACAGAGTGCTCTGAAAAGTCGTTACGAAAACATTACAACACATCCAATCGTCTTGACAAAAAAACACACAAAAAAAAAAACACTTTGTCTCTTAACAGGAATTGAACCCCGGACTTCATGCTCCGTAGTTCGACGCTCTATTCCTGCACCGGCAGTATGTTTTTAATTATAGTCACTGGCAAGGCGAGGACGGCAGGGAAGAGCTTCGGTCGTCCTGCCTTCGGCACGAGCTTCGTACCTTCAACAACGCTCCAATGTCTCGTACATCGCGCGCGCGCGCAGTCAGAGCAAGGCAGATGGCACGGAGCGCGTGCGGGAGGCTGCGGGTTCGAAAGACACGCCCTGCCGTTCTTACTCCGACAGTGACAACAGTGTCAGCTGTCAGTGTCAGTGAACGCGAAAGAGCACTTCGCGATGCTCTTTCGCGTTCCCGACCGCTCTGGTCGTCGCAATTGACCACGGCCCGAAAAAAAACAATCCAAAATAGTCCACCTCACGACATGGTGCGCACCTTGTCGCTCTCCCTACGACGGACGGCGAGACGCGTCAGCGTCACCGCCGGCGTGATTCTTTTGGCACCTCGCAATAACCACGATGCTAGCACGCGGCGACGCCAAGACGCATGCGTCTGCCGTTCAAGCGGCTCGGGGACCCGCCGCCGCCGACGTAATGCGCAGGTCCCGTCTTCCGGGTGGCATTGGACAGACAGATGCAGCCGAACCCTTTTCATTGGGCGGCAGCTTGCGCCACACGACCCAAGTCGTCAATTTCGACGACTGACTCCGATTACATTTGGAGAATTATAGTTAAGAAAGACAAACTTTTTACCATGATGTCGCAGCAACTGCAGCCATCGGGTGGGCACGACGGGAGACCCGTACACGCATGTGTGGCGTCCGCAAATGTCGCCTATAAAACGAGCTGTCTCTAAGCTGCGGCGTAGCTCCGCGGTGACATGCTCACTTTGCACGCGGCGAACCCGGGATCGAATTCCGAAAGCGCCGCAGCAACGGGTGATCTTTTTCGAGTGTTTGGCAACGTCGATGGCGGATGCCCTACCACAACGGCTACGACAACAACCACAATGGGTACAACTATGACGACGACGAATGTCATTTCTAGTGCTGGGAAGAGCCTGTAACAGCTACCGCCGTGAAACGCTGCCTCCACCATGGAAAGTCTGGGTGAAAAGTACAACGAGGCGGGAAGTTGGGCCGGCGGTTTATCGTAGAAAAAAACGGCGCAAAAGACGGAAGAAGAGTGGAAGAAGTACACACACACGCAGTTTTAAGTCGGCGCTGCTTCTGTGTACTTCTTCCACTTGCCTTCCGTCTTTTGCACCGTTTCTTCCGCTTCGAAGTCCGGTGAGATTTTGAGCCGCAGGCACGTCACGTGAAACCATCCCGTGGCAGCGGCAACGTACCCGGGTTGAAGCAGGCCTTGCAGACGCGGACCGCGTCCGGCCACCCGCGCTCCGGCACGGGCCGTTTCTGCGAGGAACAGTCGTCGCAGAACCCTTGGCCGCACGCCCTGCAGTGGTGCTTCCGGTCGTTGGGTGAGAAGCACTGGCCGCAGTCGTGGCAGTTCTGGTGCCGCAGAGACAACCACAGCCACCAATGAGTACCATATCTCCCGGACTATAGCCCGCAGACTACTACACGTCTAAAAGCCGAAAATTGATGCCACGCGGACTGTGCAAGGACTTGTTTTTCAAAATCATTCATTATTATTTATTATTTTTTTATTTTAACATGTACTGTTATCCCCGAGGCCAAAACAGGCCATTAGGCATTTCGAAAGTAAGAGCACCATATAAACCTAAATTTAAAATTTTTTTTTGAAAACATTCAGTTTTTAAGTTTGAGGTTTTCGGGTTTAGAAACTAATTATACACCCCTACACTAAATTTGATAACCATATGCCAGATAGTTAAGTTGATATAAAATATTTTCAACACATTGTGAGGCAGTAACAAAGTAAAGGAGTTCAATGTTTGAATGCATTTTTCTCAGTTCCGCTTTTTGCTGCAAATTAGATACGAAGGAATCTTTTGTTTGAAGGTAAAAGTATTCCGATACCACAATCAAGATGCTTCTTAACTGAAATTTACTGGAGAATCGGGCTATCTACCTTATTTTGTTTTAGGTTGGTACCTTTCGTTTTGGCACCCTTTCGTGTCGCCGACGTGCTTTCTGAAGGTCGACTGAATTATGAGACATACAGTGTAGACCGCATGTAACGCATGTCGCGGGAGTCGCGAAAATCCGCACTATAAGCGGTACCGCGCTATAACCAAAACATCAATTTTTCAGGCCAAAATTTATGCCATGAGACAACTTACAATTGTAAAAGAATTTATTTTATGTTAGATGAAAAATAAAGCTTAGTTTGAGGAAAGTCTTTATTTCACCAGACTAGTACACTTCTCTCTCAAGTGTGTCACACATCTTGAAAGAAATGAGCGACTCTTGCCTGGCGCAGCCTTTTAAGTTTTAACGGCGTCGCGGGTTGCAGACGGACGTTGCGAGCGTTCAGGATTACTAACCCTAATCACTTTTCTCCGGCGATGAAAACGCGGAAAAATTCGCATCCTTTATACGGTACATGCCAGTAATACCTTCAACTTGAGCACAGGCATGAAATGCTCCAAATAAGAAATCCGGGCGATGTTCGAAAACACAAATGCTTAGAAAGCACCACTGTAGTCGAAGTAAACAAACACGACGACACGGGCGTTTCTGCCGTCTTGAGAGTGCCGCCACAACATCGCCGCACGAGTAGGTGGATCTTCCCTTTTAGCACATGCTGGGTTATCGTAGCGACACACAATGAAAATTCACAGTCAAGGATAGCGCTTTCACACGGAACGATGAGCTTCTACGCCGTCTACGTCGATGATCAAAACCGACGCCATGTTTACAGATAGAAGCAGCCGGCCGGCCGGCCCGCAACCGGCATGCAACGCGCACTTCTCCTCGACCTGCAACATAGAGGAGGCACTGGATTGGTCTGTTGTTGCGGTTGTTTCCAACGTTTCCAACGCAGCAGAGGCAGAGGAGGGACGCACGCACGTGAACGACACGTGCGTGCGTCCCTCCGTTGCTATGGCAACTGAAGCCTCTCTCTTCGCTTCTCCCCGCTTCTTCGAGCTTCGAGCAACCTCCTTGCCCCGCGAGAGCCGCTTGTGGCTAGCACCATTATCTAGTGTCGCACAGGGAAGCGTGATCTCTGCGTCGGTCAGTCGGCGCGGTCGCCGGGCTGTTCCGAAAACCGCACTATAACTGGTATTTCCCTTCGCACGCCTGCATTTTAAGCGGTATGTAATTACATGGAGTTCTATGGGAGGCGAACTGGTGGTTTAAAAAAGCTGCGTTATACCCGGTACTGCACTATAAGCAGTTACGTTGTAAGTTGTCTATACTGTATAAGGCTTTCGCCTTAAAAAAAAGAAGGAGCGTCGAGAAAGCAGCAGCGAGCGTCGAGGCGTCGGCAGTGCCACGCTCGGCTCCTGATCTACTACACTCGATATCTCGAACATTCTAGGCCGAATGTTAGAGCGCTGAACATCTGGGGTAAGAGTAAACGCCATCTTCTACAAGTACGGGGAAACGTTTCCTCCCAAACATGGACGCAGCATTATCACCGAGCTTGCACCCATTACACCAGTTTGAAATAGAAGCGAAGCACCTATCAAGCACACATCCAGCAAAAAGCCATGGTCACCTCACCTGTATCTTGTAGTTGGGCACCCAGTATACCGGAGCAATCTGATCGGTGACCCAATCCGAGATGGTGCGGGTGGGCCCTGCGCTGATGCTGCTGACCGTCTCCGTGAATACCTGCAGCCCGTCGATCACCCGCTGGGCCGTGTTGGAAGGCTCGCCCGCTGGAAGCGGCTCCTGGCGACAGCAAAACAAATCCTAAGGTCCCCAACTAACCATAAGCTGACAAGACGTCCCGTTTGAGAGGTCCATTTCTGCCGTCTCGTGTTTTTGGTCTAACGAAGCCTCGTGCTGCATTTTTGTGGAAACGTGCATAGTAGTTGCGAAGTCACCACAAAGCGAATAAGAGAAAACCAAAAGAATGTTTATTTGTTGCAGACGTAATCTTATAAAAAAAACATACTATGAAACATACTGTAGTTGCATCTGCTAATATATTTTGTTCACACAAACATGTGTGCGGGAGACTCTTCTATATTACTGAATTTGACGCACTTCACTTGGCAACATTTCTTCCTCACTGCTAAAGAAAGGGTGAAGAAAAGCACTTGTGTTCTCAACAAAAAAACTTTCATTCTGCCCCCCCCCCCTTCCCCCTTCCTCCCCACCCGCTCCTTCTATGTCCCGTGTTTTACTCCGAGGAGAATGGTGGCACGCACCTGCAAAGCACTGCAGACCAATTTAGACCATTGGGGAGTTCGGTTTGCGATCAACACCTAGCAGCACTCACTATGGTCAGTTTAACCTTCCAATACAATATTGCAACGGATGCTATGAGTAACCGGAGCTGACCCCCCAGCTTGAGGTGTGTCACGTGACCTTCCAGTTGGGTAGTGCAACACACAGAACATGAAGTCATGTGGCACCTACAGAGTGCCATATCGGCTAACACGGCTCGTGACGTCCATTGCAGCATGGTGCAATGTGAAACGGAGTATATATCGCAGGTTCTTGGACCTTGAGTGCAAGAATAATTTGTTCAGCACTTCGTGATGAGACAGCGAGCCCAGAGAAATAAAAGCAAACATTTAGGAATCGCTAAACCAAGCCTCCCAAAAGAAAGTCCATAACCGCAAGATACTGCAAACGAAGAAGACAGAAGACTACAATCCTGCATGAGTTGGTGATGCACAGCAGTCAGAAAAACAAATGAACCAGTCCCCGCAAATGGTTCGTTCGTTTCTTCGACATGTCCCTCGTCTATTTTGCACCGTTTGCCTTTGACACTGTAAACTACTTCGTTTTCAGAAGAACCAAAGTTTCACAGTATGAAAATTTTGTAGTGAAATCAATCGTACGAGTACATCGCCCCGCCTGGTGACGGATACATCGCTTACCCTTCCCAATCGCGAGCTTATCCCACGGACAGCACCCCCTAAAAATCACGAAATGGATTTGATCAAAAAATGGAATTGTTTACGGTATTCTGCGGAAAGGTTGCCACACTCACCCCAGGCCAGAGGTGAGTTATCTCCGTCCTCACCACCGTCTCCTCAGGATTCTTGTTGCCGTACCAGTACTGGCGACTCTGGAAGATCACTCCGCAGCTGGGACACTCCAAGATGTACCTGGATGCCCGAGAATAGATTGGCTCCCGTTTGAAACGGAGCCTAACTCGCGCCCTCTAGTGCAAACGCCGCGCAACGTTCCCTCTCGCAAACTTCCACAAAACACGAAGCCGATCGTTCTTCTGAAATCCTTCGCCTTGTTTTTTTTTCCCAACTGAGGAACTGCGACACTCTATCTAGGATTCCTTGTTTTTTTGTCCTTTTTCCCGTTTGTTTGTTTTCTTAATTGAGGGGGAGGGGGGTGCCTTCTTCAGGGTTTTATTTATTAACAGATTGTGTATTTTCTATGGGTCTATTTTTGGTATCCAACAAAAAGTCTATGCTTATCGAGGCCGATGTTAGAGAAAACGGGACATGACCAGAGGGATTCCCCTACTTCCGAAGAACACGCGCGTGGTCCAAACACTTGAAGAATGTACTGCTACACGCAAAAGGAGAAATTGAGGCAAGGGGCACGGTTCCAGGGAAAAGACGCAGCCTCACGAATGGTTTGGTGCAGGCTATGTTCCTGGTGAACACAAAGTAATGCTGTATATAACATATTTCTCCCCCGATTTTTATAAAACCAACCCAAGGGCTACATTTCAGGGCTTATCAGTATATACCGAAAACATGGAACCCTAGTTTCGCCACAAACCGTGTGTGCGATCATTTCATTCTCCTTTTATTTATAAGTGATAATGAGAGAAATGACAGTAACCAATCAATTAGTCAGGCACTCAACATTTATTTCGAAAGAAAAAAAAAAAAAGGAATGAGAGTCGCAACTTTAAAGGGGCACAAAAGTGCTCTTTGAGATCCTTGTTTTATTGTCATAACGGCACTTGTCAACCACTTGTGAGCGATGGGTTCCTGCATGGACGAGCGGCCGATCAGTCCCCGCTCGTCCATGCGGGAGCCCATCGCCTGTGAGTGACTGACAAGTGTTGTGCGTCGTTCAACCATATTCAGCAAGGTTTGGTAGCGCCATCTGTCGTTCTGCGCCAGCGGTAAGTGTCGGGAACTTTGATCACTTTTTTAATATGCAAATCAGCCGCGCATGAAAGTAATTTCGGGTATTTTAGGAAGCTTAGAGCTTGTAGATCGAGTTACAAAATAAAACAAGGATCTCAGAAAGCACCTCTATTGTATACTAGCCAGCTTTATTGTAAACAAAGCTCGACTAGAAGAAAACCTCCAAGACAGAAAAATGGTAAAATAGCATTTCCCAGAAGACTAAAGTAGCTGTGTACCAGTAGAACAATTTACTCAAGGGCCTTACAGGCTCTGATCAGACATTAAAAACTGAAATAGTGCTTTGGCATGGAAATAGTAATATTCCTTATTTTATGTGGCCACAAACCACTTACAACAAAATGCAAAAAGCAAAAAAAGAAAAAAAGAAAAAAAAAACCTAGACGGGTTTTAAAGCGAGGTTCTGATTAAACAGGGTGTCCCCCCCCCCCCCAAAAATCTAGTGCTTCTTTAATGGCAAAAAAAAAAGCTATACGTCGTCGAATGCCCAGTTTCTGCCCAAATATAGCGCTAGCAGAACAAACCAGATGGAAAAGTTTCAGAAAGATCTATCATCTTATTCAAAGGTTTTAAGCAATTTATGGAAATTTCCAATGTAAAAATGGTCACCGAGAAAGCCTACAAACACGTGGGCCTGAATGATGCAAACTACAGAGAATGAGCCCCATTTTCCCCCATTGAAAGCTTAAACAAATCACAACTTGCAAATAAGTTAACGGTCAGTTCTGCATATTTTGCATCTGGTCTAGACCGTCGGCGGTACATTTGAACCCAAAATATGTTCCATCAGCCGTGTAACACGAGATTTGCAACGTTTTGGGTGTAACGTTTTGCTCTAACGAAAAAACCAGCACAGAAAATGCTAAGCCCATTGGGAGCCATATGAAAAGACTCCAGACCTCCAGCAGGATCTGAACTCGCTGCCTCGAGTCTATGACCCGAGTTCTTCATCGACTGAGCTAGTGAAGAACTGCGTTTGCTCTCGACGCGAAGAGAGGCCCTTTCACGCGGCGTTCGAAAGCCATGCGCCCAGGCGTGGTTGTGCGCCTCACAGCTGTGAAAGAGTGCAGGCACATCATGCTACGCCATCTCGTGGTGCTCGTCGGGAGCGAATTGGAGCGAATCTCTGACACACTCGCTTTGTAGCGAGACGGTGCTGTCCAGATGCCTCCTTTTCCACCGTGGCCATGGCTGCCATAACCACGGTGGAAGAAGAGAGAACCGAACTTATCGTAAATGCAAGAAACGGCAGAAGCAGCGGGAAGAGCCTTCACCAGGAACTTCATGGACGAACGCCGATAAGTGTAAGGCCTATCACACATTACTGTGCTTACCAGTCTTTGCCAGCATGATCAAGCTTGTTTAATTAATTTATTTGTTTAGGAATACTGTTCACTCCTAACAGGAGCTGTGAGAGGAATGGGGTAGAATTTCACGTGTAATATACAAGTTCACACAACATATAAAATAGAAAGAAAAGAAAAAAATATCGAAACAATGCTGCCCATTATGCTTACAATGAATGTAATTTGGGCAGAGACTTGGCGTTAGGTGACGAATACTTGACTTTTGCAGTGAAAAATACTAAGTTCTTTGTGGGGACATGCTGCATTTGTTTTTGCTCGTCCCTTTCGAACGACCGACAAAACGGTTTCGCAGAAGGAACTCTGCGGAACTTGAGAGCCACCATAACGTTGACTTACCCTGACCAGGCATACTTGGCCCACCCCATCCAGGCAGCGTCATTCTTGGCACCCGTCTGTGGCGTGAGGACAATCTCCCGGCCCGACTTCTCGTAACAGGACTGCGACCAAAAAGATTTGTAATTGTATGCGTCATCCAGACTTCGGAGTAACCAGGTAGTTTGTCGGAAAGAAGTCCATCACCCCCAACGAATAAAGACTGGTTCATGCATTGCCCTCCGAGTGCGAGCGAGTGCGTTGCACTTGTTTCTAACCGCTTGTGACAATATATTTTTTAACTTTGTGAGCACCACCCTTTGATCTTGGGCTCGAAATATTTTTGACCATGTTATAATAGTTATAAGCAGGATTTTGGGCTTTTCTAAATATCCATAAAAAATCCAAAAAAATGCCCGCCGGTAAAAATTGTAGCCTATTCGTATTTATTCAATAAACTAAAATTTTCAACGTCCCAATGCAAAAGAAAAAAAAAAAGACGGTAATATTGAATAAGTTTTGTCGGCTCACAAGGTAAATAGTCCTGAGAAAACACCACCCCAGTTTCCTTTCAAATCTCGGACCAGTGACGACGAACCAGTCTTATTGTTTATCTCGTCAAGGCTCATTTAAGGACAACAGGTCGTTCATCATACTTTTGGGTTAGGATAAAAACCGCTGTTCCGGTGTTCAGTTTCGAGCACACTATTTGTGCTTCTTAGAGGAAGGGGGGGTTATGTTTCTGTAACAGTGAAATCTACGAACCATAGAGATTTCATAAAAAGGTGGGGGTTTTGATAAAAAAAAAAGGGGAGAGGGGAGAAGTTGTTGGGATCTAAAGCAAGCTTCACAGCAATTATCTCGAGGAGTTTGCTGATATCAAGGTAGCAATGTTTGTCGAGGCGACACTTGTTTTTCAAGTTTCGTTGTGATTAGTAATTGCCAATGGCACGGCATCAATGCCAAATCCATCTAGAGCAACCAACATTATTTAATACAAACACACGTTTACACTCAAATATTGCTTATTTATTTATTTATTTTTTAAATAAGAAGCACTGCAAAATTAAACTCCAAATTTTGGGAAATTGGGACCTCAACAAAAATAAACTCCAACGAACTCTCAATTTTTGGCAAAAAAGAAAACCAACTTCGCAAAACACAGCCGAATTTGACAAAAAATAAACTCCGAAAACGCAGAACCCTGGTTACAAATGTAACAGGGCAGTCTGACCGATGGCGCCAGTGAGTTACAAAGGAGCACACCACACTCAATCACATTCAAGCACGAGCGCGTGAGCCAGCCTTCGAGTATGCCACTTCCAGCTCCTAGCATGCAAGATTCAATTCAAGTTTTGGACATGTATCTATGCCATTTCGAGAAGTGCCAGAGACTGCATAGTACTCGGGAATACTGTTCCTCCAGAAGGCTACTTTCCATGCTGCGTTTCATATTGAGCGCAGGCGAAGCCAAAGTTCCGAAAGCACCGCAGCTTAGGAGGTGCCACAATGTGTTTGCTGCAAACCCGTGACCTGGAGAAGACATCATGCCCCCATAGGGTTAGCTCAGCGCTACTTGTGGCCCGGTTCTCCACCGGTGTCTCCTCTTTCAAGCGAGGTTTTCGTTGCTCGTTTCGTCGCGGCTACGGAATCGCAAAAGGCTTTACGGCCTAAATGCGGTACCGAAGGCTGCGAAGGCAAATCGTTACTTACAAAATGCAACAACTCTGTGATGGAGGTGCATGATCGAGAAGAAAGGAGATGGCCAGGCATGGAGATGGAACGAGTATTTCCAGGCCTCGTTGAAGTCAGATTTAAATGCGAACCGTATTTACTCGAGTAATAGCCGCACTATTTATGGACACTACTTTCCCACAGAACACATATACAGCCAATCATTGCATTGTGTATAAATAACATAGCGAATAACCAGATAGAGAAGACAATTCTCCATACAAATGCAATTTTCACAGATGGTATCTTCTTCGCTATAGACATTATCTCTGTCCTGTAAACAGCTGGAATCATGCTGCCTATCGCGGTGATTGGCAATCTGTGTGCTCCGCAAAAAAGCAAACCCTCAGGATTTTTTCATAAATAGTGCGGCTATTACTCAAGTAAATCCGGTATTTTGACGGCCCAACAAGCATCGTGATGAAATGCTATGTCATATTCTGATAATAATACCGAATCTAATTGAGATCTATCCGTCGAGGTAGTCAATTAAAATGATAATGAGTCAAGTTCAGTTTAAAAATTTGCACCTTCCCTTATCTCCAAAGTCCTATAATGCGTAAAATGCAGTATTTGAGGAGCGATTGTTTAAATTTGTTTTGAAGACAGAAAACAATCGTTTCGAAAAGTGAAGAACCTATACTTATTTTAATTTTCCCTCTAAAAGTCGCAGGGAAACGCCCCCACTTCAGATTTTCGAAAACAGAAATGTGGGTCAACCTACAATTGTGTAAATGCGGAATGTGATGACCTTTGTGTGCGTTAGCTTTTTTCCTTAGTGCGCTCCGAGCTCCCAATAATGTGAGAAAATGGATCGTGGCACTTCGAGGATATACGAAGGGTCACAGTCGGCATGAGTGTATGTAGAGAAAGCCCCACGATTCCCATCGTCGCAAGGTGTCTGGGATATTTCCAGAAAGGTCTGTTGTCCCGGTACATTTCTTCCCTGATGTTTGTTCTGGCACGGAACATTATCCCGTACGAAAAATCATCTCGAGTGTTTGTTTTGCTTGCAAAGCCATAAGCGATTGTTCTGCTTTCAAAGCCATAGGTAAGATATTGACACAAGACACATGCAAAACAGTCAACAAATCCCACCTGTCCACTCGCAAAGAGCCCTATTCTACGATATCCAAGAACAAATCTTCTTCAGTGTCACCTTCTTTTTGCACTCCCTCTCTCGCATTTTTTTTTTTTCTTTCCTGGTTCGCTGAAAAATAAACTTTTGATTGACAGTCGGCACCGTGTCTGCGCACTTCTTGTTTCTTGTCCCTCGTCAAATTGCGCCGTTCCCGCCCCGTGAGATGAGTGACCGACTCGCTCGACTTTCTGCCTCGTTGAAGAAGAACTCACCTTGCACACAAAGACTTTGTTGTCGTGCTCATGCTGGTACTGGCACTTGGTGTCGCACCGGTGACTCCCCTGGTGATTCATGCTGCGGTTGCAGCGTGCACTGCGAACACAACGGCAACAAATGATGCCTCGGATGTTCTCGATGGCATAACTCTCTGGGGTACACTCCATGGCCGAGACAAAACAAGAGAACTCGGGGAAATGGTTAGTCAAACATTGTGCAGTGCAACTCACTGCAGTTGTCTTTTGGTGCCTGGGGTCCGACTTTGGTCGCTGTGAGAGCGAAGAGTGCGATCGAATTTGCCTTTGGCGGAGCGAGCAAAGACGGCGATTGCAGACTATTCGTCTGCTAATGCGAGCCAAGAAACGTGGTTCGTCCGCTCCGAAGTGCCATTTGCAGACAAAAATAAAATGACAAAACGCCCTACGCTGTCTGCTAAGAGATAGTAAAAAAATGCAAGACGTTTACGCTGCAACCCTGAATTAGAGCGCAGCTCTTGAGGAGGAGGAGGGGAAGGTACGGAGAGGAGGGTATGTCCGTCCTCCTTACCCGTACTCTCCCCTCCTCCTCGCCTCTCATTTAGGGGAAAATTCTCCCACTAAATTTAGCTGGAAAAATTTTCCGCTAAATTTAGCGGAGAGTTTTTCCCGCTAAATTTAGAGGGGAAAATTTTAAGCTAAATTCAGCGGGAAGATTCTCCCGGTAAATTTAGCGGGGGAATCTTCCTGATCAATCTAGCAAAGAAATCTTTTCCGCTAAATTTAGCGGGGAAATCCTCCTGCTAAATTTAGCGGGGAAATTTTCTCCGCTAAATTTAGCAGGAAAAATTTTCCTCTAAATTTAGCGAGAAATTTTTTCCGTTAGCGAGGAAATTTCTCTGCTAAATTTAGCAGGGAATTTTTTTTGCTAAACTTAGCAGGGAATTTCTCCGCTAAATTTAGAGGGGAAAAATTTCCACTAAATTTAGCGGGGAAATTTTTCTGCTAAGTTTAGCGGGAAAAATTTTCCGTTAAATTTAGCAGGAAAGTTTTTCCACTAAATTTAGCGGGAAAATTTACCCATAATGCAACGCATGGTGAAGTCATCTATGACGTCACTGGTGACCGTCGTGACGTCACACGTGACGTCTTCATGGGAAACGTCCCATTATGCACCGCGCAATGATGGCGACAGCGACACCGTTCAAGCCAGAAACGGGTGCCTTCGAGCTGCGCTCTAAAAAGGTTGATCGTCCGCTACGAACTGAGTGCCACGGCAAAGTGAGGTCGGATGCGGGCTGAAACTGCGATCGCCCACTATTTTGCATTCGAAGCTGTCGACAACTCGCGCTTTGTCTGCAAATCTCGAGTTGTTCTACTGCGGTACATAAGCCGACACTGACAGCTGGATGAGGCGATACTAAGGACAAGTACACTAGATGCTGCGCGACCTTTCTCGTCATTTGTATGTCGGCGAGACATTCTTGTCAAATTTTTGCCAGGTTCTGAACTCGTGAATGAGTCAAAAATGTCTCAACGATTGATTATGCGCAAGCCACGGTGCCATGTCCAATCGGCAGCCGAGGACGCACTCGCTCTCACCTTGGCCAAAATCGGCCGGTCCCGCACGGTCCCGCCATGTAGATTAAGACCCTAGGGTCTTAATCTACATGGCAGGACCGTGCGGGACCAGAACATTGCCACCTGCTAAGATTGATCAGCTGTGCAGAGCTGGCCAATTGCAGCATGCGCCTATGTGCCCAGTTCCTTGGCCCCAATTGCTCCTGCCGTGTAGATTAGGGCCCCTGAAGTGTTTACTGCATCTTGAAATGTGGTCCCTTGATTTCCATCTGATGACATCACAAAAGTGTGGCAGATACAGCAAATGCCCAATCTGCTGACACTTGCTTTCAGCTGGACAGTCCATATATATTTCTGCAGCAACGAGCTAAGACACTACGACGACAGCGACCCTGGCGTTTGCTCGTCTTCCTTTTGCCGAAACTTCTACAACCAACCACCAGGATCCCGATATCCGACACCGTGACACGCCGGATACCGTGATGTCACTTGTTGCAACCACGGGACCACTAGGTGGTCGATCACTGGCGAGCCTTTGCCGGTGGCACCACAAGTGTGATCTTTTCCACCCGAACACAAAGTGGCGGCAATTGGCATTTTTGTTTGCCTGGGTGGCACATGAGCTTCAATAACTTCTTTCCCCATTATTTTATGGTTATAATGGGCGCATTGGGGGGGGTATCCGTCAAGAACATAAACTCGGGCTCTCTAATATGCCTGTAAACACAAGTGGCTTTGCAAGAGTTTTCGGAATATTGGAATTTATTCGCATGGCTTACAGGATCTTAAATTAAAAAAAATTAATGGGAGGGCAGATTAATACATCTTTGTCACGCTGCCCGCACGCGTGTCAAATTTCGATGTATTTTGTTTGGATTTCCAAAGAACAGTTGCCATTCTACCAGGCTCCCAAGAAGGCTTGCCAGTGTCACTTTTCATATTATATTTTCTTGTTATATTTTTTGTAATCAAGCTAATCACTATTATTATTTTTTATTTATTTTTTTTTATTTTCACAGCAGTAACAACACGCCATGTCCCAGAGCAAACTGACCTTGCACAAGCTGGATGAATTATTCCACAAAATTTGGCTTCCTTTAAACATTAATGGTCTTTTATCTTCATGGTTTTCGCAATTTTTTTTTCAAGCACAAAAAGATGTCTGTCTTGGTGGCTTTGTTTGCAACTCAAACTTGCTATCCACGAGCACTGTTTTGCTTGGTTCCCTTTCCCGATTTGGATATGACGATACCGGATACATTACAGCAGACAAGCTGCCCGACCTCTTGGAGCTAGGGCTAAAACTGTGCCGGCGAATTGCCGGCACACGCCTGAAAGGCTCCACCCAAGCGGAGCGCACCCGCTAGCCTTTGACCACGCAGATGTAGCAAAATATTTTGCAAGGAAATGACCACCCAAATTAGCCATTAGTCATTAAGCCCTTGACACATAAGCATTCCATCTGAGAGCATCTTCGGGCTTTCTAGATCCCAAAGAGGTGAAGAGCTGTTACTTGGTTGGATCTGTGTTGGGTCCCGATAACATGGCAATCCACAATGTGGGCCAATTTAATCTAAGCCACTTAAAGCGTCAAAATCAGTCTTGCATCCTACGACTCTGCAATTTCAACAAAGATGTCTGCTGCGGCGGCATTGGAAAGTGCTGAACGCCGAAATTTCTCAACGTCACAATTTTTAGCACACTTTATGGAGTCTGAGCATCACATACTGGGGTTCCATCCCCTGTTCGATGCCTATTGCTATTACCGTTTGAGGGGGCACACGCACAAAATTAAAATTTATGATCGGCTAAACAGGAAGACCAGTTGCACTGCACATGATGTGTGAATGTAATTGACACAAAACGTTTGTTGTTTTGATGTTAAGGTTGCAAACGAGAATGACTGCCCATGCGTAAGACTAGCATATGATCATACTGAGAGCACTGAACCTTCTGTGCAAGTAGCAGACAAAATCGCTCATCGTATATACAAACCGCCGGCACAGCGCTGAGGCTTCGAACCAACCGAAAATACAAACAAGGCAAATTCGAGTTTTCAGGAATCAACTGTGCTTTTAGATGGAGAAACAAAAGGGGAGGGTGGTAGGGCAATTTCTTACCTGCACGCAATGCATGTGCACTGGCACGTGAAGAACTGGTCCGGAAACGAGCTGGGAATGCTGCGGTCAATGTCCCCGCTGAACTTCTCGTTCAGCAGCTGTCGAGAAGAAAAAATTTCCCGGATCAGACGTTGCGTCCAATGCAATGAAAGTGCGACGGTACTAGACGAGGTTTCTAATAGCCGATTCACACGACGGACTGATCCGCGGACGGATTGATCACGTGACGACATATCCGCGGTTCGTCCGTCTCCCAAGCGCATCCACACGAGGGAGACGACGAGCAGACGCCAGTGAGGACGGACCGAACCTGTTCGCACCCCACAGTGCCGCGAAACTCCAACATCGCACAGTAGCACCGTTGTCCAAGAGAGAAATCGACGGTTTCTACCGCGATAAAGAATCGTACGCCGCTGCTACGTACAGATCGAGAACAAAACACCGGGACAGGCTTCGCGCGAAGCGCCACTAACTTTACTAACCCAAAGCACGACAGTGACACAGGCATGGTCCTGCCCGAGAAAGCTTCGGCGTAGACGCGACGAACTTCTGGGCTCGCTGAGGGGCGTTTGGAGATGCCTTCACACACTCCGCGCTCGTGCACAACACTCAAGCACACCACATCCACAAGAGAGGGCTTGCTCGGTGAAATCCTGACTGGACGTGCAAGAATTATCGCGGCGTGCTAGACTAGTTTTGACGGGAGCTTCTTGACACGGACCCGGAGGAGCACCGGAACCTGCGTCGCGTCAGCCGGACAAAGTTTCTGGAGTTTCTCCCTCGCGTGGAACCAAGAATCGTACGACAAAATGAACCAACAAACGCACAAAACGCAACGACGCGCCATTTTTGTTTTGAACGCACAGAAGCAAAATACCAAGAAAACCGTGTACCGTTGCCAGACTAAATGCTTTCCAAGTCAGTCTGCCGCCAAACGTCCGCGAGTGAAAAAGGCGCTCGACTCTATCAGTCCGCGCCTCCGCGGAGGAGGCGCGGATCGCAGGAATCGGTGACGTACCGGTCACGTGGTACACGGTCCGCGGACGAAAATCGCGATTTGGTCCGTCGTGTGAATCGGCTATAAAGGGCGGCACTTCCTGTTGAAATCCAGTGCAAACGTTTCCCCGCCAAGTTTAGCGGGAAAACTGTAGCGTGACATCACGTAGTACTGTGGCATCATGCGGCAAGACCGTCACAAGTTAGAAAGGTGTGCGGAGGAAACTAAGGAGTCGCACTTGCGACCCGACAGCAAAACAAGCGGAGCACACTCACCCTCAGCGCCTGGAAGATGACCTCCACGGGCCTGGCCGACCGCACCGTAGAGTTGTCCACGATCTTCTCAACCACCTCCCTGAGCCCGTCGAAGCAGGTGGGCAGCTGCTTGGTCTGGATGCCCACGTAGTCGAGGGCGCTGAAGGCGTCGATGCTCTTTTCGGCAGAGTCAAAGCGGTGCCTCAGTATGTCTGTTACGGAACGACCATCGTCTGCAATGGCAAGAAATTGGCTGTCGCCTTGACGTTTCCCAAAGGCGTTCTAAATGCATGGTGTCTGGAGTCACTGACGAGGTGAGAAGGGCGGGGAGGAGCTTCGGTTGTCACGCCTGGTAAGTGTCAAGTGTGCACGTGCAGTCAAAGCACTGCAAAAGGCCACGAGCACATTCTCATCTTGTCAGTGACTATGCGGAGCAGAAGTCTGTCTGCTTCTTACACGGGGGTTGCGGGGACGTCGAAATGTCAAGCTTTGATCGGAAGGATAGTGGACTCCGGTTAGAAGTACCTCAATGCTAGCTACCTAGAGTAGTAGTAGTATTAAGCGTTGTAGGTGAAGTGGGGGGGAAAGTGAGGGCCAATCGTGTACGCGCGCTGGGTGTATTTGTCACTGGCTCTCAGGGAGGATGGGGCATAGGGAGAAAATCGAGGAGGTACAGTGCAGACCGCATATAACGTATGTCGCGGGAGTCGCGAAAATCCGCACTATAAGCGGTACCGTGCTATAACCAAAACATCAATTTTTCAGGCCAAAATACATGCCATGAGACAACTTACCTTTGTAAAACAATTTATTTTATGTTAGATGATAAATAAAGCTTAGTTTGAGGAAAGTCTTTATTTCACCAGACTAGTACAGTTCTGTCTCAAGTGTGTCACACATTTTGAAAGAAATGAGCGGCTTTTGCCTGGCTCAGCCTTTTAACGGCGTTGCGGGTTGCGGACGGACGTCGCGAGCATTCAGGATTGCTAACCCTAATCACTTTTCTCCGGAGATGAAAACACGTGAAAATTCGCATCCTTCATACGGTACGCGCCAGTAATACCTTGAACTTGAGCACACGCATGAAATGTGCCAAATAAGAAATCCGGGCGATGTTCGAGGACACAAATGCTTAGCAATCACCACTGTAGTTGGAAGTAAACAAACACGACGACTGGCATTTCTGCCGTCTTGAGAGCGCCGCCACGACATCGCCGCACGAGTAGGTGGATCTTCCCTTCTAGTACGTGCTGGGTTATCATATCGACACACAACGAAAATTCACAGTCAAGGATAGCGCTTTTACACGGAACGATGAGATGAACGCCGTCTACGACGACGATCACAACCGACGCCATGTTTGCGGAAAGAAGCAGTCGGCCCGCGACCGGCATGCGATGCGCACGAACACTTCTCGCTTCTCCTCGACCTGCGATTGGTCTGTCGTTGCGGTTGTTTGTTTCCAACGCAGCGGAGGGACGCACGCACGTGAACGGAACGTGCATGCGTCCCTCCATCGCTATGGCAACTGAAGCCTCTCTCTCTCGCGCCGTCAGCGCCGTTATCTAATGTCGCACAGGGAAGCGTGCTCGCTGCTCCGGTCGTCGCCGCGGTCGGCGGGCTGTGCCAGAAGCCGCACTATAACCGGTATTTTCCTTCGCGCGCCTGCGTTTTAAGCGGTATGTAATTACACGGAGTTCTATGGGAGGCGAACCGGTCGTTTAAAAAAACCGCGTTATACCCGGTCCTGCACTATAAGCGGTTACGTTGTAAGTGGTCTATACTGTATAGGGAGTGGTAAAAATAGAGATACGGTGAGTGAGCCAGCGTCCTGAGAAGTGCGGTCACTAATTCCGGTTGCAGCTAGCACTGAGGTCTACACATTATTCTTCCAATCGAAGCCAATCGGAGCTCGGCGTTCTGACGATCAGAGAAGAGTGCGAGAGGGAATGAGAAGGAAACTGAGAACCAAACTTTTTGGCCGGTAGAAGATGCTTCTAGAAGTTGGCTTTTATTGCTGCGCCGTACGCGTGAACACACCTTACAGTAGACTCGCAATAATTCAAACTCGGATATTTCACACTTCTGCTTAGTTCAACCACAATTCAAAATTTGGGTCGTCCCGCCATGTTTTTAATGTATTCATAAGCCGCTTAATTTGAACGGCAGTTTCGTGCAATTCATACATTTTGCTCTCTCGGCCAAGTCAAACGCACTCCTTTCCAAAACCATGTTACTGCAAAGAAGCAATACACGCAGAGCTCGCTTCCGCGGGAGTTGCTTCTACGCAGTGCACTGGTGCTCAGCAAGGAGTGCACCCAACGGGACTAAAGCCGGGGACAGGTGAGCGACGAAAACGCGTGCAGAGCGGGAGTTTCCACAGCATCTTGCGCGGACGCTCCGATGTGATGGCATGACATAGGTCCACGTCACAGTGTCCGTGCACGTTGCCATGAAAACTGCCACACGGTGCCTGTTTTCATTGCTCGTAGTACACAAGAGACAACTTCTTTGCTGGATGAAAAAACTTCATTTTGTTTTGAGGTGTCATGTGCTGTCTAAACAGTCCACAATAACCAAAATTCTTGAGGGACGAATAAACTTATGTCATGCATTTCACCAGTGTTTTTATTTGTGGCACACCTGCTTACGATAAGTAGGCCTGTGGAGAGGAAATCATCTGCTTTGTATGTGCAGCCATCTATATAACAAGTCATAATTTTATCTTGCATCGTATTTAGATGTATTTCCGATAACACAAACCTTTGATAATTCACACAAAATTTGCGGCCTCCTGCACTGATTGCATCGTGCAGTATACACATGAATAGGCACCGTGCCCTCACCGCCCGAGAGTGGCCTGGTGTGCATGGTCTCGTGGAAGACGACAACGGCGGGACCAAGGACCGACACAGGTCCTGCAATGTTGCAGCGCTCCTTGAGAGCCTTCAGCTCCTGCGAGAAGTGGCTGGCGTAGGCCTGCGACGCGTCGCCCAGGAAGCTGAACAGGTCCGAGTGAAGTCGCTCCGCCCGCGTGCGGTAGATCACCACGTCCGAGATGGCCAGCACCTGCGAGCATGAGGCAGCACGGTGACCGTCAACGCGAGTCGGACCAGAGCCAGTGGCGGAGCCAACGGCAAACTGGGAAAACGGAGTAAAGAGGTGAAGGGGGGCAGAGCAAGCAGAGTAGGCAGAGTGCCACTTCCGATGCCGATACGCCGACACGGGCAGGGAGCAATGGAGATATGGAGGAGATCATCCCTTTGGGAGCCCCCGACATGCACGCCTGCAGCGTACTGCATGCACACATGCGTCGTATGAGGGATTGGGAGTGTTTAATAAAAGTTGCTTAGATCTGCGAGGTTGAGAAAAGTGGCCGGCCCAGTTCGAAAATCGCCAAAGAATTCTACATTCCGGCATCGGCTGTCCGACACTGTCCGCCATCTTGCAGAACAAACGAGGCATATTGGAGGGGTTAAAGAAGTTTCTTATGCAGGAGAAAGTGTGCCCACATCCTGAAGATGAAAGATTGTCAACTGCTTTGCGCACGTCGGATTCTCTCTCACGAGCATGCTTACAAAATTTCCATGACTGCAACAATCTCTACAGGACTGTGTGAAAACATGTTGGCAAAGCCACCGAAGATAACTTTGATCGTTCGCACTTGTCGATGCGGACGTTCCCGTTGTTGCTCCTGCCACAAATGCTGAGATCGTAGACCTTGCGTGCGGCCAGGGTAAACACAAAGTGACATCGAAGATGCACTTCGGAAAATGCCGACGACTGCGGAGGTGCAAAACACCATATGGCTACTTTGAGACAAACTCGATGGCTTTTGGACAAAATCTAGGTCACAACCTGTATTTCTGCAAAATGTATTTCTCATTTGTATTGTAATACAGTCGACTCTCATTAATTCAAACTTGCGGATAATTCAAACAAACATGCAGGTCCCATCCTATGCATCTCTATGGGAGGAAACTTCTGATATTTCAAACTTTGCTTTATTCAAACAAATTTTCGGCCCCCCTCGAGTATGAATTAACGAGATTCGACTTACCATTTTATGAATGTACTTCGGTATCATTATTTTAGGCGTCTTTGCCATGTATCACAGTTTTTGTATTTCCAAGTACCTTTGAGGGTATTTCTGCCCAATCCTGGTCAGTAGGCTTCTGAACTGTTTTATCGTATCAATGTTAAAACCGGGAGCAGTTCCTCGGCAGCCATTAGTGGCAGGCAAGGGTTCCTTAAAGCCCGATCTACAAAACATTCTTCTGCAAGGTAGGAAAATCCTTCTCACGACCCCTCCCATTTCCTCCACTCCCACAGCTATCATGACAGCAAGGGGACTCCATTTATTGGTGGATCTTGGGGCTAGATAAGCCGGGTAAGCTGCCGGCTTAATCCAGCCCTAAGACGTGGCAACAAAAGGAGTCCCCCCTTCGTCCTGATACCAGTAGAAGAGGAGGAAATGGGAAAGTTGGCAAGGAGGATTTTTCCACCCTGCGGTAAATTATTCTGTAGGCCAGTCTGGGATACGCTCCCCGAAACAACTTTTTTTTTATTTCTTTAGCTAGAGACATAAAAATTCAGCCCTTGGTATAGTTTTTCATGCGGATTTCAATTGTATTTAGTTTTCACCTAGCTACTATAGTTATTGAGTTATGTAATACACAATGCAAAAAAAGAGCACTTTTTCCGGGAAGGTTTTGATATACTAAATTTACAAGAAAAGTATTGTGCTGTATTTTATTTGACTCTTCAGAGATTGCAGAGTGCTGATATCTAGCCACACTTTGCACAAAAATACTAGAACTATGCAAAAAAAGTTTGTGCTCTGTACCTAATTATTTTCAGTCTACCTTGAAACAATAAATAAGATGTTTCATAACTAATGCTGATAGAAAATTCAGTTTCAATTAGATATCAGCCCTCTACATGTCTTGAAGAACATGTGTACCAAATTTTGTTACTATAGGTTAACTATAAGTTCACAAAACGCTGCCCGGAAAACGTGAAATTTTCAAAAAACATGAAAATGAGAAAAACATGTTTGAAAGTTTGTGAAGTTTCTATTCATTGAAATGCCACTCTATTTACATAAAATCTGGCCACAATGGCAAAATGCACTGACAAGTTTCTAAAACCCTCCAGCACAATAACTTTGTCCCTCCTGGCTCTTGCGGGTTGTTTCCTCACTCCGGGCCCTCTTCACTGTGCTGCGACGATGTGCCCTGGCTTGCGCTGTTTGCTTGGTGTTCATTTTCTTGATGCGCATTTGATCGCAATGGTCACCATGCATGACCAAATCTTCTGAAAAAAGTATTCCAATCTCTTCCAGCACTCTTTCAAAGCCTGTATGGCCTTTGTTGTACCAAAGTACAGCAATCGCTGTGGCCGTCTCCACAGTAGTCCTGGAGGCGAACTTGGTTTTCGGGCACAACAGCCATATTTTACTATTGAGCGACTCGGCCGCATTCTGTGTCTTTCCGTGAAGGCACCGAGCCAAGAGCTTCTCGTCGGTGAGGCGCTTATATATGGGCAGGATTGTCATTCCCTGTGCTTTTGTCAACAGCGGGGTGTGGCGAGGTGAAGGCTCCCCCAGTGCTTCCGCACGCTTGTGCTTGCACCATGAATTCGGTCCCGCAGGGCAAAAGTTGTGGCTGCCGGCACCATCACTGGAACAGCTATGAAAATAGGACGCCCATATGGCAGTGTACATGCTTCGGACACTGCCTTTGTTGCTTGTGATGGCTATCTTATAGTACATCTGTAGTTTCTGTATTGTTGGATCCTTGAGTTTTTCACCGCGTGGCAGTGGCGTCGCTAATTTCCGCAGGGCAGTTCTGAGGCGCTTCGAAACGTGGTTCGTGCATTCCTCTTTCTCAATGGTAGAGTCGCCGTATACTTTTGCCTCACACACTGCAGCATAGGCCTTGCTGTCGCCATCACTCAGGAAGCTGGTAAAACGCAGTGAGGTCTCGTATGACGAAGTCCTCTGCCATATTTGCACTGCTGCAGCGGGTTCCATTGCGTGGGATGAGCAGTCCGTGTTTTTTTCGCAAACTGGATGATGGAAAGCTTGCCATGCTTCTTCGTCGTCGCCCATGTCCTTGTGGATACTGCAAGCATGGCAGCAATTCGAAAGAACTTGGAAGTCGAGGCAGAGCCCAGTGTCCAGGGACACAACTGTGCCCACTCCGTTGTGGCTTTTATGGCCCCTTTTTTGCCAGGTGCCATCAAACATGACTGGCACATCCCTGCCGCCGGCTGCGTCCTTCGTGATATTTCGCGCCAGCTCCAAGTTTTGGCTCACTGCCCTCATCGCTGCACCATGGAGCTTTTTAGAAATGGCGTTGAACGTTTTGTGGTGCATTGGACGTGGAAGTCCGAGAATTGCACAAAATCGCGAAAGTTGGTCGTGTCCTGCGCCTACAGTTCGGGCTGCCACAACTGCTTTCACGTTCACCGCGAAGCTGTCGCATGAGCTTCCGCTGTCATAACGAACACTCGCCCCGTGGTCACTGGCCGACGTAATCCGCCTCGATGTGTGCGTGGACAAAAGCGTGGACTCGGGGCAATCGGCATTTTCACAAAGTAGTTCAAGGAATGCCGAAAGTCCTTTGCGCTTTTGAGCTGCCTCCCGGACGCGAAGCTGTGATCCGTGGCAAATTGGGCATATCGAACCCCTCACAAGTGCCGTCAGCGCGCCAATTTCGCAAAGCACCACAGTGACAGCAAGAGCACCTACCGGTCTAGGCTCATTCTCGAAGAATCCAATCTTCTTTTGCGACGCACTCACAAATTCCAAGGCAGCGTCGATTTCAGAAGCACTGTCGCGGGGTTCGGAGTTGACGTTAGGCCTATGCAATGTTTGAGCGTCGAGGGCATCGTCCTTGGCGGTCACTTTAGGACGCGTCGTACGTCGCTGTTTTCCTCGGTATTTGTTACGAGTTCTGCACTTCCGATAATCGGCACCGCGCTTTTTGGGGCTCGCCATACCACATGCAGAAGAAACGCTGAACAACTCGATAACGGCGTTCGCGGCTTCGCTCTTCTGACGGAGAGATTGGAAAAGGCGGGGGAGCGCGCCGCCGTCCAATGGCGGCCTCGCGCTGCATGCCACGAAATTCAAAACGCTCGGCAAACGAGTTACTTTTCTCGTTTTTCCTTTATTTTCCGCGAATATGCGAGACTAACCGCCGGTGGATCACGGAGGAGACGACTGCCGCCGCATGCCTGCACGATTGCAAAATGGCGGGTGGAGCGTTATTTTCGCGGCAGAAGGACGCAAACCACACGAATTTTCGCGACTTTTGCCCGGTTCTCGCGTCACCACTGCTCACTTGGATGCATTTTTAGATATTTTCTTGTGAGATTTTTAGCTTGATGTTTTCAGAAATGAAAGGTCCAAGGTCGGCAATGCAACAAAAAAAAAAGTGAAATTTTTTCAGAAATTTGTGACTTTTCGACTTGCGATTTGCGCCAAGAAGCGACAGCATTCGGTCTTAGGCTAACATTTTTATATCTGTCCGCGTTCCCCTGGCGCGCGCTCCCAGAGCGCGCTTCTTTTTTGTTGTGCCGATACTAGCGATCATCACATGTAGAACAATGTTTTTCTTCGTAATTACATCTGCTGACGGCAGGTGGAAAGTTCTGTTTAGGGAACTCCTGTCTCTAGCTTGCTCTTCAGTCTTTCCATAAAGGCGTAAACTGATTTAGTCGAAGTCCTAGTTATGAATAAAAAAATGTCGGTTAAGGGGAGAAGCGGGTCTTAAAATATCAAAAAATCGCTAAATATGCCATTTTTCAAAATTCACGATTTTGATGTCTATATAGTCCAGAGTATGTCCTCACAAAATGTAAATGCTCCATTCGATCTCTAAATAAGAAAATAATGACAATTTGTAAGCGTTGACAGACCCGACTTGAAGCCTAAACTCTGAAATGTCAACAAAGTTCAAGCCGTCTGAGCTCTGCAACGGCTCAACCGATTGCAGCCATCTTGGTCTTGTTCGAAAGCTGGTTTCCCGCGCTTATTTTTCCCGCGCTCCAAAGCGGTGTACCCCTCGAAGCCGTGGCGTCATCGATGCCGGACGAAAGGCCGTCACCAACGCAAGAGAGGCGCTGATTGGGCACAGCGCGCGCTCCTCCGAGGCGCAGCTCTCTCATTGGCCAAGACGCGCGCTCCTCCGAGGCGCAGCTCTCTCATTGGCCAAGACGCGCGCTTCCTCTCCTGGCTTCCCCGGCGCAACGTCCAAGGAAGGAAAAAAAACTTCATTGGAAACCAGTTCATTGCACTTATTCAGTGCATGTGCGGCTGACCCCCATCCAGGCCTTGCTGGGCAAGGGTGTCAGCCAAGTCGCTCCACGGGCTCCCGCGGCGTTCGAGACGCACGTTACATTCGGATTTCTCCACTTTCTCAATCGATATTTTTAGTGTTTTCTTTGTGCTTCCTAGTATTTCGTATGTTCCCTGTCTTCTTCGCATCGTTCGTGTAAATATTTTGGTAACTGGCATTTCATTATTAGACATTCTTATAGCCTCTATTATATGACTTCTGTTCACTTTAATTCTTTTACATGATTATATCGTGCTAAAGAAATAAAAATAGCTTTAGCTTGTATGGCATTTCTTTAGGAAGCAAGTGATACCTTTTTTTTTTTGCATTAAAATTTTAATAAGTTTTTTTTTAAACCCATGCTCAAATTAGCTAATTAATATTTTATATTGTTGATAACTTTTGACAAAGAAGAAATATCTGAAATCTGATTGCAGTTATGGAATCAGCATAGTAAACTGCATGCCTATGCAAAAAATCACAGACATACCAATAAACAAAAAATATTTTTGGATAACCCACTTCCTCCCAGTGTGATTTTATCAACATTTCACTAATTCATTACTTTTTTCGTATTTTTTTTCTAGTGTTTCCATGAATGGATTACGTCATTTTTTATGTCAAGATGTTCAGGAAGACTTACACTACACCTTGATGGCAATTATTGCTTATCATTCTGCACACAATTTTCTATGTTCAATGTCAAAACTTTAACTTCGATTTTCTCATCTTCGTGTTTTTTGTCAACATGCTTAGCCTTACGGGGGTTTTCATGAGGTTTTTATCGTAGCATTCTGAAAACATTGATACCGTTTTATTCAGAAAGGACTGGACTACGGAGTAAAGCTATTTTTTTACAGTCTAGAGTTTCAAAGAAAAAAAAAAAAATTATGATAATTATGACCTCATTAATGTCATAATTGGCATAATTAGCCAATTTTTATATAGACCGTTTTATCGTGGGTAGCGCCATTTTGAGAGCGAGAGAGAAAAGGGGAAAGGGCTACCGCCGCTTTCCTCCTTTCTGATTGTGTAGAAAGAGTGGAAGTCCTGGATGAGGGGGCCTGGCCGGTGTTGGGCGTCTGCAGTGCCCCAACTTCGTTCGCGCTTTTTTCTACGGTTCAAACTCCCAAACTTAATTAGAGTCATGGTCTTCGATGGCGACAGTCCCCCGGTCATCGGGACACCATTGCTGGGTGATAGGGTGCACGAATAACGACAGAAAGCGTCGAATACTGTCCGAGGACCTATGTAGCTCGCATGGAATCCGGCAAGGCAAGTACAACTGGAATGTTTTTAAGCTCCATTGCTTTCCGCATGACTGGAAATGATGAACCATTTATACATTTTTGCTAGCAATGGGGCCTATTTCAACGTAGCCGCTTTTAGTTGTAGTCAACAAGTTATACACGAAACGGGAACCTCAATTAACTTTGTAAACGCCCGGAGCTGCTACATATCGTCTTGCTCTGCTGTTTTTTATCTTCGTGTTCCTGTTCTTATATTTCCTTTGAATGAACGACGAAGACGCTCCAGATGTACTTTTATCGAACCGCAAAAAGCCTCTAAGCAGCCACGAATTATCTTACTATTTGATGCAATATTTTGGGTACTCACCTCCAATTTCTACAGCTGGCACGGTCGCTGCCGCTGTTCCCCCCGTCGCCACACTGGCGCATGCCATGACTCAAACAAAGAAACGTGCACACTGGGCTCGAAAACGCAGATCGCAACACACGAGACGTCCCCTGCAGCGACTATCAAGCGCCTCAAAGCGCCTTAGTCAACGGAAACAACCCACCAGCGGCACTCCAAGGACGCTTTTGCCGGTTCCCTGGTATTGCGCAGAAGATCGCGATTAAAAAAAAAAACAACATAGAAATACGTTTTTAACAATTTCCAGCCTCACCCGGGGGCGGAAATGAGCCTTCAACTAAGTGTTGTAGATGATAAAATCGAGTCAGTCAGCACTGCAAATTATCACTATTAAGATAAATTCAGTTACAAAATTTTACAAGCTGAAACAGCAGTTATCATGAGAAAACTCGCACGCACATTGCGAGCGTACCCCATGTTCATCGGCGGCACAGCGCTTGGTGCGCGCTCCATTCACGAAATGTTCCGAGCGAAGTCGAGAGGATAGCGTTGAGGAAACGCCTTTCGGTTTACGGACGCAAACCACTGCCGCCGGAGACAGGGGTCATGTGGAAAGCGATGGAGCTCAAAGACATTGCAGCCGCTCTCGCCTTGCCGGATTCCTTGCAAGCTACATATGTCCTCGGACAGTACTCTATGCTTTCTGTTTTTATCTGTGCACCCTATGACCCAGCAATGGTGTCCCGATGACCGGGGGACTGTTGCCATCGAAGCATCTGGCTCTAACTAAGTTTGCGAGTTTAAAACAGGAAAGAAAGCGCAACCGAAGTTCGGGCACAGCAGACACCCAACACCGGCGAAGCCTCCTCATCCGGGACTTTCACTCTTTCTACACAATCAGAAAGGGGGAAAGTGCCGGTAGCCCTTTCCCCTTTTCTCTCTCGCCCTCTTTCAGTAAAACGGTCTATAATATTGTCATTTTGTGAAATTTTAAATAGCTTTATAATGCATGGCAGACCTTTAGCTATGCATCTACATTAATAAAAAAAAAATTTTTTGTTGGAAATGGCTTTAAGGACTTGTAAGAAATTACCAAATTAGGCAACACTATTTTTAATAACTTGTGAACTACTTGAGATATTTTAAAACTGATTTCATATTTAAATTGAGGAACAAGACGCACATATGCACAGTGATTTTCATTAGAATAGCTGCAAAAATAAAAAAAGTCAATTTTAGAACCAGTGTCTCGCATTAAGGCCACTTGAAAATGGAGACCCCAAGGTGGGAGGCCGGGGTGCCACTTTGCATAGTACTGTGTCTCAAAAGGTACAATTCGAGAAAAATATCCTAGGTCGGAGGCACGCAGACATCAATTACTTTGAGCCCATAGATCAGTGTGTCTTTGATAAATATATACTCAATGAAGGAAGCTCCGGGGGACCAAAATTTTTGTTTGGTACGTTTAAAAAGACCCTGGAACTTCAAGGTATAGTGAAATTTGAAAATCTGTCTCAAGTTTTCGACACCCGGACACTTAAGAGTTCGTCGGACGCCCGCAGTCACCTTGAGGAGCAGCCGGGTGCGCTGGTTCTGGTTCTGGGCGACCCCGAGCAGTCCCTCGGTGTCGATGGCTACCAGGCCGGTGTCCGGGCAGAGCGCTGCCCAGGCGCCCACGGTGCACGACTGCTGTTGCGAGGAGGTGCGGAACACCGGTGCCCCTCCGAAGAAGGTCTGGTTCAGGGTGTGGCTCTTGCCCTCCCCGGTGTTGCCGAAGATGGACAGCACCTTCACGGGCCGGTCCACGCCGCAGCCCAGGCGGCGCGAGAACTCCTCCGAGGAGGACACCTGCGTGGGGTAGGGAGGCGCTCCTAAGGTTTACTAAATTCCCGAAACCAGAGCAACAGAGAAACGCTGTTATGCCGTCGTTGTATTGAACCGGCATAATGAGGAGACGTCGTTGTATCATTGAGCCGGTGTAACGCTGACACATCATTGTGCTGTCATTGTACCAAACCGGTATGGAGACGAAACCTCAATATATCATTGTCATACTGATTCGGTATCTCAACAAACTGTTGTTATACCATCGTTATATGGTTCGACAGTCGGTGAAAGCGTAGGAGATTTGGTACGGTGTCCGGAACATGTTTCCAACTGCTCCGTTTAACAAATCCTCGAAGGTGGTCTCTCGATTTTCGTCCAATAACGTCATAAATGTTTCGTGGTGCTGCCTGCTGCAATCTTTGCATTGGCACGGCAGTGGAGGCGGGTGCGGCGGACGTGTGTTCTGCTGCAGGTCACTCTCTAGCTTGACAGTTCATGAAAGATTCAGCAGCCAGGATTTGGGACACTTTGACACTTACATCTGTTTGTTTCGTGCGACTAGTTTGTTGCTTGATGCGCACGAAACTTGAATTCGCTTGTACCGTTTGGAGTTGTATTCACCATACTGCGTTGTCCTCCATCGAACGTGTTTAAAGACGGTTCGTAGTAATTATCTACAATAGATATCCTGCGGCTAAGTGCTACTGCGGCTATGATAAATTACTCGAGAGGGTGGGATTATGCTCTTTGTTTAATGGACATCCTATACACGATTTACTGTTTTGACATAAGGGTGTCAATGCAGCTGTTGATTCATCGCCACTTTTAAGCGCTGTTTGTTTTCAAACCTCCTCTCGGTCCAGCTGCTCTCAACGCCCTTTTTATCCCTTGGGTCTGTTTCACATGTTGTCAATAGACCGTATGCGCAATGTAGAGCACCATCTAGTAGCACGCCGAGAACCACACCCGCCATCTTGTTAGCGGCGAGAAAACGAAACCAGAGATCCGACTGGCAAAGGCCCCATGTAAACAAGCGACCGCGCTTCGTGCGAGAGATGCGACGCCAACGATTACTGCGTTCCGCTGCGGATGCAGCCACACACCTTCGATTTGTCGCTGCATCCGCAGCAAAAACGTGAACAGGGTTCACCTTTTTTTCCTCATTTCTATGTTTTACTTGAGACGCAGCTTCTGACAAAACCAATCGGTGACAACGCGAAGAAACATGCGGACGTTATCTCGCGATGTGAAGCCATTTACAACTATTGAACTAGGCCCTAATCTTTTCAAGAAGTTGTACCAAATTTGTTTATGACCTTCTTTTTTCTTTTGTGTATGTTAACAGTGTCGGCCTGCCTTTTTCTTGGTACGCAAGCAGCTCAATGCATGCGGACGAGACCAAGCAAAAAGATGGCAGTTCTAATAATTTACGCCACCCACCATAATTGAAGACACTTATGGTTATCAGTGGTATGGTTAGGTTCATCGCAGTGGCTAAAACTTCGATGTCGGCAGCGGCAAAAACTTACGTTGCGGACGTCGAATGAAGCAACACGGGAAACAACCTCATTTTACAGCCTCCTTTTTTTTTCCTTTTTTTTGTCGCAGCCGAGGTAGATGTTTTGTTTAGTGCAAAGAAGCTCTGGGGTAGTTTTGAGAAAGTCACTGCAGTTATTCTGTCAGGGTTTAACAAATCTTCATTATTAGCGCAACATCCGTCAACTGTGCTTGAGGTCAATGCTATCAGAAACCAATTTTAGCCCTTTGCAACGCTTGAAAAATATAGCCTCGTGCACAGTTTCTTTTAGAACACAAAGCGTTTCACCAAAAAACCTTTTGCTATAAAAACAAAAACAAAAAAATATTTTTGAGTCGTGTATTTGCGTGTAGCAGTATAGACCTTTTCATTTTAGTAGTTGCCTCACCGGCGGGCAGAGGGCGCTGACGCACTCGGCGCCATTAGGTTGCTTCAATTTGGTTGGTTTCGGTTTCAACGTGAACGCGGCTATGTTGCTGTTTTACATTGTTTTTGCTTAATTTTGTGATACGATTATTTTCCTGGTACCACACAACCAATGAAACAGTAGTATTGAGCCGCTTTGATGACTACGAGGTGTAGTTTAGCTTAAATTGTGGGCGTTTTTTACCAACTTCTTTGATGTATATGATTAAGTTTGGCTGCGAAACGCCTGACTGATGTACAGGAGAGAATACCATTGTGTATGACCGTACCCGATGACACCAGTTTCCAGAAAAACAAACTAATGAAGAGAGTAACATGTGAATATAAAGGGGGAAGCATATCGACGGCTTGATTAGCAATGTTCTGAATCGGCCAGAACAGATGAACTGGCGAGTTTACAACTCACTGTTTGGTTTTCGTGGACCCCCAAACTTTAGTGAACTTCACAGAATAAAAACGTACAGTGTAATGACGCAGGTAATTGATATAAATGTATAATATCGTCTCGGCCTCTTTTTTTAAAATGTAGTAATCGAGCATGTTTTGACAGGCTGAGTAAGAAATTTCTTAAATTATCAATCCTGCTAAAGTACTCATAGGCGCCATTTCGCGATATTTGCCCCAGGAAATACATATTTTTTATATGAACATTTGCTTACTCAGGATATGATATGAGTGACAGGCCCGTCAAATTAAATCTGGCAGTTGTCTTCCGTAAAATTGGCCAAATAAAATTAAAGGGGGCAGGAGGCGAAATACCTCGGAAAGTTCGGCTGAATTTTAGCGCTAGGCACCACTTCACGGACCTGTGTGAACAAAAATTTATTTCTTAGAACAAATTCGCTTTATAAATATCGGCGTAGCCAGCCACAAGTAAACCTATATTCGCCATCGACAATCCTGGACTCAAAAAGCTGTTATGCAAACGGCTCTTCTTTTTTTTTTTTTTTTTGTGTGTGTGTGTGTGTGAGGGGGGGGGGGGGGGGGCGTCAATTATTGCGGATTTTAGATACTGGCAAAAGAAAGGCGTCGTCATTATTGCGCATGCGCCGAACCAAAGTCGCTTTTGGTATTTGCAAATAGAAACGACGTTGTTTCTTTGTGCACGCTATTCTAAAACTCGCTACTGTTAAGTGCGGCAGTTTCTTACGCGTGAGGTCCCAACCTTTGTGTTAAGTAAATTAAGTGGAGGGCATTGGTTATCTAAATGTAATCAATATATCATTTAAATGACTGTCGAAATGGGAGTGACCCCATGGTATACAATTTCTTAAACTTCATAAGTACACCGACCAACCAAACGTCTACGTCGCAAAAAAAAAAAAAAAAAAAAAAGAGAGATTGAGAACCTTATACAGATGTAGGTGTGATATTGCCGCGCGCAAGGCTGAGAAAGCAACGCTCGGTCGCGGTCCTCCAGAAAGTTCCCGTTTATTCATGTACCGCACGTAACTTCTATCATTTGTCCCTGCTTTTGTTTTCTAGAAAGTGCGTGTTCATTCTCGCCCCGATCACGCGACGCTCGAACCGCTTTCGCCGAATCTTCGAGATAGCGGAGCACTCTAGATAAGAGGCCGCCCGCGACCTTGTCGAGTCAGTCTCGCCCCAGCGCTCGATTCTGCTGACACGCCGACTTCGACGCCCGCGACGCTCTGCTTTCTTCTGTTTCCTTCTTTATTTTTTGGCACAAGTTCGCCACATTAAACGTTTATTTCTTTCTGTTTATTTCCTGTTTTTTTGTTTAGTCACCACCCGTGACATTTGGTGGAGGTGCGGGGTACCGCATGCCCTTGCAGCGTTCCCCTCCCAGGACCCGCAGTGCAAGCCCGACTCCAAGCTCGCTGAGAAGACCACTCAGCGCGGAACCTGAAACTCGGACCAGCCGCCGCACCAAGGGAGAGGATCCGGAGTACGGTTTGCTGCTGGACAAACCCAAGCCGAAGAAGACGACGATGGACAACCAGTCGCAGGCCCCCACCGCTCCTGCCGTCGTCTACCTACCCGTCGCTCCTCGGGCACCGGCTCCATTCCACGGCGAAAGCCACGAAGACATCGACGACTGGGTACAACAGTACGAACGAGTGGCCCGTCATAACGGATGGACACCGGAACAGTGTCTGCAAAACGCTTACTTCGCCTTGGAAGCCACCGCCCGGAACTGGTTCGAGAACCACGAAGCTTCGATCACTTCCTGGGAGCAACTCAAGGCTGAGTTGCGAAGAACGTTCATGAGCGAACACCGAAGAGAACGCGCGGAAGAGCTTCTTCAAGCGAGGATTCAAGGCCCTAACGAGAGCATCGTTAGCTTCGTGGAAGATGTCCTGCGACTGAGCAACCGCGCCGATCCCGAAGCATCCGAAGCAAAGAAGCTCAGAGTCTTGATGCGTGGCGTCAAGGAAAGCATTTTCGGTGGTCTTGTGCGGAGCCCGCCTACCACCGTCGAAGGCTTCATGACGGAGGCCACCAACATCGAACGTGCCCTTCTAGCACGAGCCACCCACTATCACCGAGTTCCCGGCGTCGGTTCCTTTTCGCCTTCCGGCTGCAACACCGCGGACATCCGCGAGATGATCCGAGACGTCGTCCGGGAAGAGATCAAGAAACTTCTACCTGCCGCCGCAAGCCCAGCCTCGCTCTCAATCTCCGAGATTGTCAGGGAAGAAGTCCAGCAAGCGCTGCAGCCTGAGGTTGTCGTCAGCACCGCTCCGGAACCACCGACGTTGAGTTACGCCGCAGTGGCCCGACGGCCACCGCCTCCTCGTCGCACCTATGTCACGCCGCCCCGACGTCAGTCTCCTGCGCCGCAGCACGACCGACGCCACAACGACCAGGTCCAGTACGCCTGCCCGGAGCCTCGCGCACCCCGCAAGACCGACGTGTGGCGAACGCCCGATCGACGCCCTCTGTGCTTTCATTGCGGGGAAGCGGACCACACCTACCGCCGATGCCCATACCGACGACTCGGGCTACGCGGGTTCCACCCGAACGACCCGCGCCCCCGTCATGGTGAACGCCCTATCGAGATCGACGAGTACCTGCGACGACCTCAGTCCCCCGAGCCTGCGTCCCGCCGAGAGTTCCGGTCGCCATCGCCACGACGTCCAGCTTCGCCGATGCACCGACCCCGACGTGAAAGCCTGTCGCCCCTCGCTCCTCGCCGGGGAAACTAGGCGCGGCAACCCCTGGAGGTGGAGTTGCCGAAGACG